GGTTATGTTCTTCTTTATTATACTTTCTTCAATTTCTTTTTTATTTCCTTGACAGATAAAGCCACAGACCCAAGCATGTCAGAACAAGATTGGTCAGCCATCCAGAATTTCTGTGACCAGGTGAACACTGACCCTAACGGGTAAGGCGGCTTCACACTCAGACTCTGCTCCGGGGCACTCACCCTGCATGCTGCCGGGTCTTGGTATTGTTCTGCACAGCCGGGCTCCGTTTCCTTCTTTTTTTTTAATCCCCCTCCATGTTTCCCTGAGAACATTATTTTTCTAGAAATAGCAAATTCATGTGGTTTTCTAAACAGAATAGGCAATTTGTGAACTGGCAGTTATTTTAAAAAATGTGAGATTGTGTTATGAAACACTACTGCTGAGGAGACCTGAGCGTTACGGATAGAACATAGCCAGGGTGCCTGGCAACGTGAAGGACCAGCTTGTTCTTCATAATTTAAATGCTGTCTCCCTGAAGAAAAGGCAGGAAAAGGCTAAGATTTTGTTAAATTTGGTTTCCAAAGTATCTGGGTGGGAACTGAAGGAACAAGTCAGTCATCCGGATGTATCATCTCCATGGCGCTGACTCGTCAGCATTTTGAAACGAGCAAGAAGTTTGATCGCACTTTCTGCCGTGGTGTTGCCTGAGCAGTTACCATGTGACAGACTGGGTCTGTGCTGCTCACCACCTGGTCACGCGCAGGTCTGGGAGTTGTAGGGGTGGGGTGGCTGGAGGGATGGTGTGCCCTGGAAGCATGGCTGCAAGAAGGGTTGGGGGAGTCGGCCTCCTTTGGGGGCTCATGCGTGGCCAGTCTGGGACCTGAGCCCCTGGAGGAGAAGGGACTGTACTGAGCGTACTTAGCCAGACCTGTGAGCATGGTCCTCTCTGCCCAGAATCCAGGTGTCTTTGTTTTCCCTTAGCCCAACCCATGCGCCCTGGCTGCTGGCCCACAAGATCCAGTCTCCACAAGAGAAGGAAGCTCTTTATGCCTTAACGGTGAGTTTGGCTTGCCTCTTAGCCTAAGCTCTCTTGTCCCAAGGCTAGTGTTTTGGTGCGGGGAGAGCCTCTGAGAGGTTCACCTTCACTGGCCTTACAAAAACAGGCGGGGCGGAATTCTGGGCTCGGCTTGTCCCATCCTGGATCTGTTACTGGAGAGTAGTGTTGAGCCTGCTTTGGGAGAAGGAAAAGAAGGCTTCATTTCCTTTTGCCCTTTCCAGACCAGAGCTGGCGAGGTCAGGTGTCCACCGGGCCAGACTGGTAGCAAAAATGAATGAGGCACTGGGTGGGAACCAAAGACCTGGAGAGCCCATGCCTGGTCCAGAGAGGGCAGCTGCGGTGCAGGGCAGGCTGGCTGCTGCTGGGCCTGAGATTGGGCCCAGTGTTGCTAGAACTTCCTGGGTTTCTGTTTTTATTTTTTAAGAGAAACCAGAAATCCAGATTTTTATATGAATTCTCTGAATTTTTCAGTATTGGTGACTATTAACTGTTAAATAATAGTGTAGACCAAAGAAAACATTTACAGGTCCAACTTGTCACTTGCGTGCCAGCAGGTGACCTGTAGTTTAACAGTTCTTGGGTATTGCATATCCAGTTTCTGCCTCTGAGGAGAAAGGAGGAAGCGATTCCCTGACCAGTTTCACCTGGCCAAGGGGTCTCCTTAAAAGGTGGAGTGATTTTAGGGTACCCCCACTGAGCTGTTTCCTGGGCACAAACCTATCTATTACAAGAGCAAACAGGCACTTTTTTTTCTTAATCTGAAAGCGTCACCTTTTCTCCCACACTTTAGTGTCCTCATAGTCTTGAGCCATGGTTCCAGCAGATACTTACCAGGTTTGAGATGAACCCTGGGGCCAACAGTTTTCCCCTTCTCTGGAGGTCCTGTGTCTGTGCAGGTGCTGGAGACGTGTGTGAACCACTGCGGAGAGAAGTTCCACAACGAGGTGGCCAAGTTCCGCTTCCTGAATGAGCTCATCAAAGTATTGTCCCCAAAGGTGCGTCCCCTGGGCTTGGCCCTGCTCACTGTACTGTGCGCCCCCCAACCTTCAAACTCCTGTCACCCTTCTTGGCCTAGAAGCAGGCCTGCTTATGGACAGAACCTGCCAGCCTGTCCCAGGTTTGTGAGAGCTGAGAGGTGAAAACTTTCCTCCAAGGTGTGTTATGATGGTTGCAGTCATCAGCTGATCCCTGCCCTTGGATTGTTAGCATTTTCAGATTCTCCCTTTAAAAATGGCCTGATAGATGGGTGTCCTAGAGGCGGGTGAGGAACTCTAGCTGATGGGCACAGGTTTCCTGGTAGAGAGCAAGAGATGTCAGGTGTAGCTGTAAGTTTCCTTCTTTCCTTGTTCTCCATAACCCTTTCTCCTGGCACCTGTCTTAGCAACACCATTTCCAGGTAACTGACAGTAATGGAGATTTCCTTTGCCACTTGCCAGCAATTCTCTCCACTGTGTGTCCTATGATTTAATTCATTTCTGATAATAACTACTCAAAGTTAGGACAGACCCCACAGGTTAACAGCTCAGTCCTACCTGTACTACCCCTACTTCGGACACCAGTGAGTCTTAGGGATCCCCAAGCTGCTTGCACTTCTTCCTGACCAACTACAAGTTCAGAGGTTCCTCTGAGCCCCTCCTCCAGGTTCCATAATTCACTCAAAAGATTCACAGAACACAGGGAAGCACTATACTTACTAATATCCCTTTGTTATAAAGGATATAAATGAAAGAGATACATAGGCCAAGGTCTTGGGGGTGAAGGGGGAGCAGAGCTTCCGTGCCAGGAACTGGGGACAAGGATCAGATATAATCAGATATATTGTTTTTTTTTTTGATCCCCATAATCCTTCTATTTAATCTTAAAAGGATTTTTTGAGAAATAATGGTTCAAAACACTTGAGTTTCAGCAATTCCTTTCACTTCACCTTGTTTATATTCCAAATACCTTCTTTTATCCTACACTCGCCCCAGTCAAAAAATGAGTGTCCGCAGTGGCTGTAACCTAGGCCACTATATGGTGGGATTGAATTTTAGTGGCCTTAGAGGTTGGCTCCTTGAAACCCAGAGAGAGCCCTGGGGCTGAGTCCCAGATAATTTGGCCTCTGGCTTTGCCTCAGCTTTCAGCCAGCCTCGGGCAGCTCCCTTCCCTGGGCCTCAAGCAGCCATCTCTTCAGTGATAGTTTGGGCCGGGCAGCCTGCTAAGCCCCTTCCAGCTCTGTAATTTTCTTGCCTTTTTGTTTTCAGTACCTAGGCTCCTGGACCACAGAAAAAGTGAAAGGAAGAGTCATTGAAATACTCTTCAGTTGGACAGTGTGGTTTCCAGAAGACATCAAGATCCGAGATGCTTACCAGATGCTGAAGAAGCAAGGTCTGGCTGCTGTACTTAACATCGCACTGCCCGTTCACAGTGGTTCCTTCTTGCCTTTTCCTGTGCTTTGTCATTTTGGGTGAAAGCTGGAGACCTTGTGTCCAGCAGACACAGCACTAGAGGCCGACACAAGTACTTTTCATCCTTGGAAGTGGGCAGACCTTTCCCTCTGGTAGGCAGGAGTTGGGCTGGGTTTGAGATAGTTGTTGCTATGGTTACCCTCTATATACCAGGTTTCAAATACGAGTGTTAGCTTGTGTTTAGGCTGAGGGCTGATTTGCTAGAGAGTTTCTCTCAATATCTGCTCCACTCTTAGCTTTGGGTGTCTTCTGCTCCACACCTCAGAGGTGTCTCATCCCGTTGCCTTTCCTGACAGTAGGCCGTTACAACTTGTTACCCTGTGCCCGTAAGCCTGGTGGTGGTGGTGGTGGTGGTTCTGTTCTGATTAAGCCTTGATCTTGGCAGGCACCGTGTCGCTGGCCTTGGTGGGACCTGTGTGTGACCCCGCCTCACCCCAACTCGGGTCTGAGCCCAAGACATGTTCCTGCCCCTTCCCACGGGTCACAGGCTTTTTTTTGTCCCTTTTTTCCAGCTGCAGCAGGTTCTCACCACTGCTCGGAGGACAGCAGGGTTGGTTCTTCCCCCAGCAGAGTGAGGCTTCCCTTCTGGGGAGAGGAGGATTTCAGTGGAACATCCAGTCTCTCCCATTCTTTTTGGGAAGACCATGGAGAATGAGCCTGTTCTTCCTGTGTTGCGGGCCCCAGGGGGTGTCCTGTGTGGAAGCTGGGAGTCCACGTTCCTTTTCTCTTGGGCTCTGTAGAAGGAGGGACCTGGATTCGGGATGGACTGTCTTCCTGTCACATGCACTCACGTAACACCTCTAGGAGTACCAGGGATCCTGCACTAGTTTCTGGGCCCTGGGAGTTTATGATCTTCATAAAATGATCAGTAGTTTTATAGCGTAAGGACTGTAGTCCACTAGCCTTAGGGTCTGGTTCTGCTCTGATGTAGTTGGCTCTGACGTGCCCATCTTTGTGCTGGTTCCGTGGATTCTCCTGAGGGAGGATGCAGAGCTTTGATCATACCCTGGATGTATTCCTTTTCGGTCATTGACAGTGTTTTCCTGGAGGGTCATCAGGAATCAGGGGTTTCTGGACTTTATACTGGATCCTGCTGAAGTCAGCGGGTGCCTGTGTCAGTATAACTTTATGAATTGCATGTTTTAGGAATCATAAAGCAAGACCCTAAACTGCCAGTGGATAAAATCTTGCCCCCACCTTCTCCCTGGCCCAAGAGCTCCATCTTCGATGCTGATGAAGAAAAATCAAAGGTAAGGCGCTTCTTCCTGACCTTGGTGGCCTACCTGGAGTCTGACCAGGCTCCTCCTTTTAGGGACTCTCCTGAAATGTCCCTTGATCCCTGAACCAAAGTATGGGAGAGTGTGGGGAGGTAGGTTGTGAGCTCCCTCTGGAGGGGGTGCTAATGAGTGAGGTAGCATAAGGTCCGGGTGTTTTTTCATGGGTAGGCCAAGTATTAAGTACCCCGTGCCTTTGGTACCCTCTGCCTTCAGCGACACCTCTCGGCATGGGTCTGCCCTTCCCTTGGATCTAGCTGCTGGCTGTAGGCAGAATGAGCAGAGCTGTGCTAGGCTCTGGGCTGCCTTTCCCAGGGGGCTCCTCTCCCAGTGCTGTACAGTTGCAGAGGGTGGGAGGAGCTGGGGAGGAGGTGTGGCATGAGCTTCTGAGAAAGATACTTTTGTGTCAACTAAGCTACTTAAACTCTCTGGGCCTCAGTATCTCCATCTTTCCTGCCATCCATCCAACAAAGATTGAGTGACTCCTCTGTGCCAGGCATTTAGCTAGGCACTAGAAATAAAGTGGACAAGGTTGCCAGGGTCTGTCACATCACAGCATGTGGTCCAGGACAACCTCAGCACTATTGGCATTTTGGGCCAGGTGGTTTTCTTGTTGGGGCGGTTGTGTACCACAGGATAGGATGTTACAGTGTCCCTGGCCTCCACCCACTAGATGCCAATGCACCCCCAGTTGTAACAGCCGCAATCATCTCAGGACATTGCTGGATGTCCCCTGGCGGATATACTTCTCCACCTCCTTGCCCCACTGAGCACCGGTGGTCTCGGGAGGGTAGTCCTGATACTGACTACTGTGTTACTGCTGTGAGGATTTGGGGAGCTGTAATGCGTGTGAAATGTGCGAGCTGTTAGTGTTAATTCTGTTACTGCTGGTGCTGCCACTCTGGGCCATTTGACACTGGGGGAATTAATTTCACCTGGTCTTGTTTCCTTTTCAGCTTCTGACAAGGCTTCTGAAGAGCAGCCATCCTGAGGATCTTCAGGCTGCAAACCGGCTAATCAAGAATTTGGTCAAGGAGGTGGGCATTTTCCAGTGGGTTCTGCAGAATCAGTGCATGTGTTTGTGTGTGCTTCAGGGGGCTGGTGCACAGTTGGCTGCGAGAAGGGATGGCCACCCAGCCCTGAACTAGGGAGCAGCTGTGGGCTCCCTGAAGGGTAGCAGAATGGTGACTGGAAGCAGAAACCGTGCTGTGTGCTTCCTAAGGACATCTGTCCCAGAGCTCAAAGCATTTCATGGATGCCAGCTTCTGTCCCACTGACCAGTGTTGGTGTGAGAGCCCAGGCTGGGGAGTCTGTTTCTCGGAGGGGTTAAAGCTGGTGGTGCGAAGGAGCAGATGGCCAGGTCCGCACCCTGCACTGTCTGTCCCAGGAATTCCGCCGAGTGTTGTGGTGGCCTCCCTGAGCTCTCCACAGTGCGATGCTGCGGTGCCTGTCCCTGCCTTATTCATGCTTTATCCAGGTCTTCTGTGCCCTCTCTCCCATGCTCTTCTTTTCTCCCAAAAGGAACAAGAAAAATCAGAGAAGGTGTCCAAGAGGCTGAGCACTGTGGAGGAAGTGCGGAGCCACGTGAAAGTCCTGCAGGAGATGCTGAGCGTGTACCGCAGGCCAGGGCAGGCCCCGCCAGACCAGGAGGCCTTGCAGGTACTCTTTCTGAAAACAAACAATTCAGACAGCACTGGGTACATACTAGAGATACTAGAAAATGCGCACTTTTACAGGGTAATTGATATGTTTTGACATGTATATGTCCAGGAAGCCGTCACAATCACAGCAGTAAACATGTCCCTCACCCCCAACCCCTAAACTTCCTCATTCCCCTTGGTCATCCCTCCCTCCTGTTCCTCCGTCTCCCCACCCCCAAGCAGTCACTGATGTGCTTTCTGTTCTGATTAGTTTATATTTCCTAGACTTTTAGACAAGTGGAATGATACAGCATTCCCTTTTCTTTTGGTCTGGGTTCTCCCCCTTGATATAATGAGATCCAGGTGTGCCATGTGAATCAGGAGTCTATACCTGTTTGTTGCTCAGTGGTGCTCTGCTGAGTGCATGTGCCGCAGTATGTGTATCCATTCATCTGTTGATGGATATTTGAGTGGTTTCCATCTTGGGGTGATTATGAATTGAACTGCTGTAAACAGTTGTGTACTGGGTTCTGTGTGGGTGTACACCTAGGGTGCCTAGGTGTGGGATTGCTGGGCCATATGCTACGTGTATAGTTAACTTTTTAAGAAACTGCCAAACTGTTTTCCAAAGTGGTTGTACCATTTTATAACAGCAGTGTATGAGAGTTCCCATTCCTCCATGTTTACACATCTTGAGATCTTTCTTTTTAATACATTTATTGAGAATTTATATAACTAAAAGCAACCGTCACCGCTATCTAACAAGAATATTTTAAACGTTCTTTATATATTCTGGATACAAGTCCTTGTCAGACAATTTTCTCCTCTTCTGTAGGTTGTCTTTTTACTGTCTTGACAGTGTCTTTGAAAACAAAAGTTTTTATTTTGAAGTTCAGTTTATCTTTTTTCTTTTGTTGCTGGTGCTTTTGGTGCCACAGCCAAGACGCCACCACGTGGTGCAGCAGGTGGCGGCAGCACTGAGATGCCATCTGGGGCCGCCCTCCTTGGTCTCTCTGAGCCTCCCCACTCTGCCTCTCTGCTTTCCAGCTTCTTACGCGTCTCTGCGCAGGAGAGACGGCCTTCACGTGGCTCCTTAGTTTACCTGTTCTTCTGTTTCACAAAGGAACTGGTGTCTTACCCAGTTCCTGAGAGGGAAGTCTGTCTGGCCAGCTTGGCTCACGTATCTACGCGCAGTCAGCTGTGACTTCGGTTGGGTGGTTAGAGAAGCTCCTGCTGGCCTTCTGTGGCTGGGGGGCAGCACTCCGCAGAGCGGGCGGGCTCGGGCCAGGCAGACACGCCGAAGCTTGTGCCCGAGGTGGGCTTGCCCCAGAGCCCCTCAGGGAGGTCGGTCGGCTTGTTGGGCTTTTACACAGCACAGCCTCCCCCCAAGCCCCGCCCACATGATAACCAGCTACAAGACCGGAGAGGGGGCAAGAAACAAAACTCCATCTTTATAATGCATGGAGCTGACTTCGGAAAATGGGGCAAATAAGCATTGGCAGGTAGGAGCCAAGCCAAATGCGGCTCCTGTATTGGCAGTTAGCTCTCAAGAGCAAAGCAGGAGGAAGGGGCGCCCTCTCCCAGACTCACCAGTCAGATACGTCCCTTCACCAGCCCTGGGAGAGGGGGCTGCAGGCAGAGGGAGGCCTGGAGTGGTCAGTTAGTTAGTTGAGCTTCCCTGCAAGGAAGGAAGCCTAAATACGGAAGCTGTCTGTCTGCCTTAACGGTATGTGGAGGGTGAAGTTGTCCGGGGTGCACTCCCTGGGAAGAGGAGGAGATTTCCCAGCTGTTTCTGAGGAGAGTGAGATTTAGTTCCCGGAGAACCTGCGGTGGGGCTCGCGGGAGAGTTGCTGTAAAGGGACTGCTGGCGTTGGACAGGAACTGGATGGCAAGACTGGATGTTAGTTTTAAAGCCGGGGCAGTCACTGCAGGGTCATCGCGTTGTTAAAAGCTGTTCTGCAGCTGTGGGGTCACAGAAAAGAGAACTTGAAGAGAGAGTGCTATACACACTGAGACTTTCAATTCTGTTCTGAACCAAGGTCTTGTCACCTTTTTGAAATACTTTTAAAAAATGGTTAACTGTAGCCCATACTCCTGAGACAAACACCTGCATCATGAACTGGGGACAGACTGCCCAGACTCCGCCGCATCACGCCCAGGGCCTCGCCGTGGGGCCAGGTGTGTGACGAGCAAGCTCTGTTTTCTAGGTCGTGTACGAGAGGTGTGAGAAGCTGCGGCCCACCCTGTTCCGGCTGGCGAGCGATACCACCGACGACGACGACGCGCTGGGTGAGGGCCTTGGTCCCCACGTGTGGCCAGCACCCAGGGCGCGGGACAGACGCACTTCCTGCTGTGCTGCTGGTGCCGGAAGCCAGGCCGTGGCCTCTGGGCTGTGTGGTGGTTGGGCTTGGGGAGGTAGTGACCTGAGTTAATTCTTCTGACTTCAGAGGAATCTAGGCTTGAACAAGAAATCAGCAGGTCTGAAAGCATACGAAGGGTGGAAAGCATACCGTGTGGATTGGGTGTGAAGGGGATGGAAGAAAGAAGATAACACTGCAGGTCTAACAGCAGTGAGGGGCACATGGGGGAGGTTTCACACCCTCAGTGGCCTCGGGGGCTGGGCTGGGGGTGGTTAGTGAGGTGGCTGTTGTGTAGAAGGGACCGTGGAGAACTGTAATGCTGTACACAGGGACTGAAACATTTCCAACTTGTATTAAGTCTAAAAAGATGTAAAAGGGTTTATTCTTCCATTCCCGTGTACTCTTCACCTTTTGTTAATCATTACCAACCCATGGCCAGGCTTTTGCTCCTGTTTTATCTGTACTGCTCGGTCCCTTTGTACTCCCCCTGACCCCAGTTCTGTTTTTAAGCAAATTCCAAACATTTCAAAGTAATCTATCAGCGTTCACATTTCCCTGAGCATTTCTTTCTGACCCTAACCCTCTTTTTTTCTTTCTTTTTTTTTTTTTTAAGTTTGTTCTAAATCAGAACTGAGAAAGAAAAAAAACATGCTTTGTTATTGGTTGATATTTAAGTCTCTTTTGGTGGATAGCACCCCCACCTCCCCCCTTCGTTCTTTATTTCGTGCATGAAGAACATGTCCTTTGGCTTGCTGGAGTTTTTCTTGGTCTCAATTTTCTGATGGCATCTCCCATGGTATTTAATGTTTCTCTGTTCATGATATTTCTGAAATTCCTGATTTCTTACACATTCAGATTGAAGTTCCATTGGGGGCTGTGATGGGAGCAAGAATATTTCATAGGTGGTGTTAAGAGGCACTTGGTACCTGGTTTTCTGGGTTGTGTGTGGGTGGGTTTGTGTGTGATCTAATTATTGTCTAAACCCATTCTTGAGGTCAAAGGTGATCAAATTTAAATTTTTAAGCAACTTGCACATGCCAGATCACTTTGCCAGGTGAATTCAACCCTATGTTTTCAGTTTGCAATTCCCATCCAGTTTAAAAATTGACAGGAAATGAATGGTTGATCAGTCTTGAAGTCCTCTTCTGGCACTGGGGCCTGGGGTGTTACACACGGCCCCTGGCTCTGTTGCTCTTCTCTCTCTCTCTCTCTCCTAGGAGAGATTTTTTTTGCAGGTAAACCAGACTGTGAGATACTCTTGACATTTTTGAAATCCACTGTGTATTTTATACTTACAGGACATTGCAATTTGGATGTCAAATTTTCATCAGAAATACTTGACCTATACTTAGATTTTATAAAATTTACTGGTGAAAAAGTAGATTTATGTACCAGGTTGTTGCTTACACACTTAAAGTTTCCAATAACTGAGTAAAGCACCAAAAATTTCTTTTGATATTAGTACCCACATTGACAAAATAGCTTTAAGTTTTCGTTTTAATTTAAAAATTAAAAGTTTTAGTTCCTCAGTTGAAAGAGCCATATTTCAAGTATTGGCCATCACATTGGACAGTATAGGCAAAGAAAGTGAAAAAGTTTGGTCCCTTCTACATCCTGAGAAGAAAAATGTTGGGGTTCAGGGATTGAGTGACTGGGCCTGCTTGGGGCCTGATCCCACGATCTGGGAGCAGGAGGCATGGGTGTACTCTAGCTGGGAGAGCCGTGACGGCCGCTCTGTGGAATGGCTCAGAGACTGAGATTGTTGGTAGCTACACCAGGGGGTTCTGATTGTCCTCTCTTCCTTCAGTGGAGATTCTCCAGGCAAATGACCTCCTCACCCAGGGAGTTCTGCTGTACAAACAGGTGATGGAGGGCCGTGTCATCTTTGGGAACACAGCGATCAGCTCCGTGGGAGACATACCTGTCTCCAGAGGTACATGCAGAGAGCCTCTCCCCGCCCTCTGCCGTGGGGTAGCCTGCAGATACCAGGAAGGAAGGGGTCCTCAGAGCTTTCGGGGTTATGGTGTAGAAATGAGAGAGCGTGCCCTCTTTTCCCTTTCCTATGAGAATTGGTCTCATCTAGGCAGCCTCTGTCCCGTGTGCCACTGTGGCCTGACTGCCAGGCTGGACCCTGGCTTTGGCTACACACAGAAGCAGGTGGCTGTATTGTGACCAGGTTTGGATTTCTTGTCTCTAGAGTGCTTACTTATAGGAGCTAGACACCAAAACAGTGATCTTCAGAGGTTCCCATTGCCAGGCTAGCTAAATCAGAATCATCTGGAATACTGGTTACAGTGCAGATTCTTGGACCTGCTGAACCAAGGCTGGAGCTGGGGACCCACGTTTTTATCCTGCACTGATCAGCTGTGGTCAGAAACCTCAAAAAGCCTCTGAGCAGGAGCTGCGGCAGGGTGAACGGACCCCCGGAGGATTCTGTGACTGCTGGGGTGGGAAGGCAGCCCCTCTGACTACCTTTTATTTCAGAGGCCAGTCAAGGCAGTGAGTCAGGCTAGGCAGCTGAGGTGGAAGGTGTTTATGAAGGGAGGGGCGATGTGATGTGTTTTGATGGGGAGGAGGCCTGAGGGGAACTGACGGCCTTTTCCCTTATTCTGATGGACTGGCTTTGCTAACTGTTTCTAGTCTTTCAAAATCCAACGGGCTGTGTGAAGAACTGCCCCCTGATTGACTTGGAGGTGGACAGTGGATCTGAGCAGGCTGGGACTGCAGCGCCCTCGTTACTGCATCAGGACCTGGCAGCTTTAGGTGAGGGCGAGTGTTTGGGGAGCAGGCACAGCCAGGGAGAGTTGTGAGCTGGCTCCCCTGGGGGAGGGCATGCCTGTTTTTAGAAGGAATTGGGTCCACCAGGAAGTTCAGAGAGGTCCTCCTTGCACTTAGGCTCAGATTTACCATGGATGAGTTGAGTGAGTTTGGGTAGTTTGTTCTGTCTAGGCTTTCTAAATGTTCTAGAAAGGATGGGCATGGTATTGATCTCCAGTTTTGTATCAGGTAGAGTTACTGACGTGCACCTGTCCCTTCCTTGCAGGAATCAGTGATGCCCCAGTTACCAGCAAGGTAAGGAGGCCCTTCCTCGGGGCGGGAGAGGAGAGGGCAGTGCTGCCTGGGTGGGGAGGGGGGCTCCAGCATGGCCGGGCACTCGTGGACTTGGAGGTCTGAAGCCTTTCCCTCAGCTGCACTGTCTGGCTTGAACCCCTGGAGGGAGATGTCTTTTTGCTCTCCTTCTATCGCTGCCCTCTTCCGTCGCGTCCAGACTCCTCCTTACTAAAGGTCTGCTCAGGAGTCCTGTTCTCTTGCTCTTTCTTCTCCCGCCCCAGGAAATGGAGTAGCGGGCTGGGCTGCAGCGGCTTTAGGGTCAGGAGATCTGTGCCCGGTGTCACCACGGCTCCTAGTCATTCATACTCTGGCCTTACTTTAGCCATTCCTGGTTTGACAGGTTGCTGGTCAGAACTGCTGTCAGGAAAAGAGGAATCCCACTGCCAGCACACTGCCAGGCGGAGGTGTTCAGAGCCCTTCTACAGAAAGGAACTTGCTGGATCTCCTCTCCCCACAGCCGTCTCCAGGACGTCTGTGAGTCTGGTGGGCAAGGAGCGTGGAGGAGGCCGCCCCTGTGTGCAGTTCACAATTGCTGTGCAGGGCCCAGGCAGAAGGGCCCCGGGTACCGCTCTCCCTGGACGGGCTGCTTGCTTCCTGCTCATTGTGCGCCGTGCCTTTTACTCCCCATCCTAAGTCAGGAAAATACATGCTTCGGCCAGGACCTCCGTAAAGGGGTTTAGTTAAGGAGTGATAGCAGTGAATGCTGGTGATGTTTTTGGTCCTTATAGGTGGGTTTTTGCTTTCCTGATTTTGATGTAATTTGAAGTAGAGCAAAATTAGATCACTAGAGAAATAGATAATATAGAAAGGCCCAAATATCATTCCTAAAAGACAGTGTTGAATGTTCCTTGTTTGCTTTTTCCGTATACATGTAGTAATGTTATTGTGGCTTATTTTTACACAAATGAGATTATAATTTCCAAACTGTACTCCAGGGTGGTTCTTTTAAAAAAAAATTTATTTATTATTTTTAAGTTTATTTGGCTTATTTGGCAGAGGGAAGGTAATTATTTTTATTTATTTATTTATTTATTTACTTACTTACTTACTTACTTACTTACTTATTTATTTATTTATTTATTTATTTTTAAGGGAAGTACCAGGGATTGAACCCAGGACGTTGCGCATTCTAGGCACGCCCTCTACCCCAGGGTGGTTCTTTAATATCACATATCTTTGACACATTTTCATACTAGTTTATATACATTTACCTCATTATAATAGTTTATAATAATTCACATACGTTATATGCATAATATATCTTTAATCATTTCCCTCTTGTGGGTATTTACATAGCTTCCGGTTCGGAGGCACTTGGAGTGTTTCTGTAGTACAGATGTATACTATGAATATAAACACACTCTCATAGATCCTGTCCCTTTGCCTCTGGCAAGGCTGGAGCATCTTGCCTTCCCCCAGACAGCCTGAGAGCCTGCGCCCCTGATGGAGATCTCAGGGCTCTGGGGACGTGATGTGCTGGGGGGTCATTCCTGTTTGCACCCATAGGGGCTGGCTTCCTAGTTTACTCTTTCTAATTGCTCCGCAGGGGGCCAGTAGTTCTAATTTTGGTCAGTTAACTTCTGTCTGGACTTAAGTTTTCCAAAAATGTTTTGATTTGCATCCCAAATGGACAAGATCATGAAGAAGTATGAATGAAGTGGTCAGTGTAATTTGTGCTGTCACCTTGCTAGCTTATGTCACTCTGTATGGGAAGCTTGACCTGCCTGAGCTTGTTGTCAGGACTGCCTGACGAGTACAGTGTTAATTAGGTTATTGGATCCTTATCATGTGCACACATTCCACTCAGTGCTTTTCCTACACTTTCTCATTTAATTCTTATGACAACCCTATCAAGTAGACACTAAACTATCCCCACTTTACAGATAAGAAAACTGAGGCATAGGTTAGATAACTTGTCTAAAGTCATATACCCTTAAATGTGTATATACACCCACATACACATGCATGTGTATTTATTTTTCCCCCTTGTTCTTCAGAAAGCCGAATCACAGATTCCTAGAATTCTCTACAATTTTTGCCAGTCTTAATATTTATTATTTCTTTGCAGGAATTATATTCCACAGAAAAGTATCCCCAAGGAAGTGCCACCGGGTACTAAGTCCTCTCCAGGTTGGTCCTGGGAGGCTGGCCCATCGACTTCTTCCCCGTCTTCCCAGAACACACCTCTGGCTCAAGTGTTTGTCCCTTTGGAGTCCGTTAAGCCCAGTAAGTACAGTTTCACACCCCCTCCCCTCTGTTAGACACCCAGCTTTATCCACACTGGATTGGTAGGAGTGGCTCTTAAACTGGTGAAGATGAGTGGTGGAGAGAGGCTGCCTGGGGGAGAGGATAAGGTGGATGGCTTCGTGGTCTCCTAGCTAATATTTTTCTTAATTTTCTCTGTCTTTAGGTTGACACTGAAAGTTACTGGCAGGTAGAATTTAATTAGTCCACTCAGGGACATGATGCTCATTCATTTGGAATTCAAGAAGGAATGTTCAGTGTGATGAAATAACTCAAAGATGTAATTAGAAGGAGAGGAAGAGTTTGGCTGGTGATCCTCTTCCTCTGGCGATCCTCATTAAAGCAGGAAAAGTGGATGCTAACCTCCCTTACAAAGGAAAGGAAAGTAAAAGCCCAGCTAAGCCAGGTGACTGTCTATGGTCAGCGCGCTGGCAAATGAGCAGGAAACAACTGGGGCCTTCGGGTCTAGGGCTTCTGGCCCCTTCCCTGGGCACAGGGCCCTCCTGGGGCTCAGTGTGGTGAGGTCAGATCACAGAGGGCCTTGGAACCAGGTAGAGGAAATAAAGTCAGCAAGCAGTGGGAGCCCTTTGCGCACTTACTTTATTTTTTTTTCTTTATTTTTTTATTTAAACGTAATACATGTTCAGTGTTAATTTCCTGGCTTTGATCATAGTATTGTGGTTATATGTAAAGTGTTAACATTTGACGAAGCTGGCTGAAGGGCATATTGGAATTCTTTGTGTTTTTGTAACTTTTTATGAATTTGAAGTTATCACAAAACAAAATTAAAACAAAAATTGTTCAGTATTGTTTCCAAAAAGAATAGAGCAGAAAACTAAAAATCATCTGTACCGTTACTGTCTAGAGATGGAAGTTCCGTTAATGTCTTATTTTCCTGTCTTATCTATGTACATACATACATACATATACTTAATAAATTGTCACCATAGCATATATAGACGATTTCATATCCTGCTTTATTTACTGTTATAAGCCATAGCAGTGTTTCATGCTCTTAATTACTTTTCAAAGCGTTTGCTTTTTCTTGGATCCATACTTGTAGCACTAACAGATGTACTGTAATTCATTTATTCAGTTCCTTTCTGAAGGATAATTTGTTTCCAGCTGTTTACTGCATGTGTAACAGTGAACATCCCACTGCAAAAACTAGAGACCCACTTTTTAAACTTTCCTGATTATTTCATTTGGATATATACTTAAAAGTGGAGATACTGAGTGTAGACATTTAAAATGTTGACCTTCATTACCAAGTTCCCTTCTAGAAAGATTGCCCCTTTCCCCATACGCTTACTACCATACCTCATGAGTCTTTTCAGTCTTTTAAATCTTTGAGATTTTCGTTTTTAAACTGTATTTTTCTAATATAGTGCATTTTGATAAGTGATGTTTGTCATGAGATAAGGATCTTCAGTAACATTTTTTTCAGATGATTAGCCAGTTGTCTGCCATTTATTAAAGCAGCCACTGATTTTGAACTATGTGCTCTTAGCATGTTAATTCTCATTTGGGTCTGTTCTGTATGCTTTGCTTGAACTGCAGTTTGTACATATGAGTATTTGTTAATGCAAATAGCCCTACTCCCCCTCCTCTTTTAATGGTTAGTCTCAAGTATTTTTTTCCCCCCAGAATTAACTTTAGAATCATTTCTTAGCTAAATTAGAACAATCCTTTTAGTATTTCTAAAACCTGTTAACTTGAAGAGCTCTGCTGTCTTTACAGTTTTATAAGTAAGAGATGTGTATATGTGTGTAGTCATACGAAAGGGACCAGAAGGATGTAGGCCCGGATGTTAGCAGTGCTTGTTTCTGGGTTGAATTAAGGGTGTTTTTTATTTCATTCTTTGTGGCAGCCTTTATTTTCTGTAGATTCATACATTATTTTAATCATAATCATTTATTCCTCAAAAAATTTTTTAAACTGGCAGTATAGTAGGATGGTTGGATGGGTTTGGAACGTCATAGGGGTCCAAGCAAAGATAATGAGGACTCGGGTTGTGGTGGCGCAGAAGGGTTAAGTCCAAGCGCTACTGTGACCGGAGAAGCCGCAGCACGGGTGACGTGTGCACGTCTCTTTCAAGCACGGCTGTCTGGGGAGTTTGTAGCGGCACTAATCCTTTGGTTGCACCCCTCTCTGCCAGGCAGCCTGCCTCCTATTATCGTGTATGACCGGAACGGGTTCAGAATCCTGCTCCACTTTTCCCAGACGGGGGCCCCTGGCCACCCAGAGGTGCAGGTGTTACTGCTGACCATGATGAGCACCGCCACCCAGCCTGTGTGGGACATCATGTTTCAAGTGGCTGTGCCAAAGGTGAGGCCGCTGCTGACCAGCTCCTTTGAATGTTTCCATAAAGACTGTCATTTTTCAGCACCAGGTCCACGGCTAGGGCATTACTGATGAGGTGTAAGGTCAGCATCTTCACTCAGAGTAGTTTCTGATAAAGGGGGAATCTTGTCAGCTCATTTACCTGGGGCTTCCTGAATGTCTGACTTCAGATGTGGCTGGATCCAGATCAGTTCTTAAATAATTCCTTAAGAATCTGTCACTTTCCATCTCTTTTAACTTTGCTTTTCCTCCTTGGAACTGTTCTCTGACAGACTCCACAAGCAGGGAAATGGCTACTAGCATCTCCTGAGTTACGTGGTCCTGAACCCTTTTGTCTCGAAGCTCCCCTGGCCTGAGGCGTGCATGCTGATACCCATGAGGGGGCTGGGATTGGCCTTGTTGGTGTTACTTGCATACCTTGGACCAGTAATTTGTATTTTAAGGGACGTGAGGTACTCCGGCCAAGTTGGATATTATTTCCCTTTTTCAAGGAAAGTAGGTCTCCAGTAATTAACAGCCATCCAAGAATCACAAAAAAAAAAAAAATGAGGAAGGGGCATGTCCTGAAGGAAGCATGCAAGGCAGACAAAAATAAATTGTATGTCTTCTAATACTCTATGGTGGTTTTGTAGGGTATATAATATTACCTCTATCTTATAAATTATCTGTCCAAGGTTCAGAAAGGTTAAACACTTTGCCCAAGATCACAGAGCTAGTAAGAGGCAGAGTTAGAATTCAGCCCAAGATGTGCCCTCATTCTTCATGCTGCCTCTCAGAAGCCAGCCACTGACCACACAACTTAGATACGTCCATGTATAGAGGGAAGGGTCTTCTGGGTTCTGTCATCAGTTGCTGGGGTGGCAACCCAGCTCTCCTGGTCCCCTGGTCTCCCTCACTGAAGATGCCATTTGTTAGGTATGTGTTATATGTTGGGTTTTTCCCCCGACAGTCAATGAGAGTGAAGCTGCAGCCAGCGTCCAGCTCCAAGCTTCCTGCTTTCAGTCCTTTGATGCCTCCAGCTGTGATCTCTCAGATGCTGCTGCTCGACAATCCACACAAAGTACGTCCTGGTATCTATGATAGCAGGGAGACGGGGGCCCCGGTCTCTAGAGAGGCAGCTTGGTGGATAGGGAGAGGTATATTGAGGTCTTGCCCTGAAGTCTCCACCTTGGTGGAGACGGTGGAGTGCACGCTTAGCACCAAGGAGGTTCTGGGTTCAATCCCCAGTACCTACATTAAGAAATAAACCTAATTAATAAATCTGATTACTTCCCCTCGACCCTCAAAACAACAAAACAAAAAATTGCTAAAAGAATTTAAAAGACATCTCTGCCTCTGCTTTGGTTGCGCTGGTAGTGGACTATCCCTCGCTGGAGTCCACTTTCCTTTGGGGCTTATTGAAAGATCTGTGACATTGTCATAGCTGGGAACCAAAGGAGTGGTACACACTCTCCCTAATATCATAGAACCTTCTGAAAGGGCTAGCCCAGTCTCTTCCTTAGATGGTTTCCGCCCCAGGACTGCAGCGGTGTGGGAGGACTTCGGGGATGCATGCCTGGCTCCCTTTGTGTTTGTAGTCCTAGAGGGTCTAGGCCAGGGTGTTCTTGCCATACAGCTCGAAGCCCTCTCCTGCGTGGAGTTTACAGACATACACTGTTGCTGGGTGGCTGTTGGGTGGGTCAGGGCTTTGCCTGTGGGTCTCTGTGTCACTCCCCTCTAACTCAGCATCTTTCATCTTTGCCCAGGAACCCATCCGGTTACGGTATAAGCTGACATTCAACCAGGGCGGACAGCCTTTCAGCGAAGTAGGAGAAGTGAAAGACTTCCCAGACCTGGCAGTCTTGGGTGCAGCCTAACTCCGCAGGACAGACCCTGCTACCCAAGCTTAGGCCAGTGTTACTCTTGCTGTGTAGGTAGGACTGAGCACAGTGATTTAGTGCAGAGTGCCAAGAGCTCTATCCTGACGTCAGGCTCTGGATGCCAGCCCCTGACTCGCTCTGCAGATACTGTGTGTGTGCGTGTGTGTGTTGCTGGGGGGCCGAGGGGGAGGGTAGAGCAGGGCTTGGGATGTGAGCAGGTGGGAAATGCTAAAGCGTTTCTGGTAACCACCTGCTGTAATCATATCTGGTTTTGCATGTCGGTGGACACTGTCCCTGCCTCAGGTTGGAGGTTTTATAAGCCAAAGTTGTTGTTTTTTTCCATTTATTATTATCTTTTCATTCATCCACTCTGTGCCTTGTCAGCCTTTGAAAGTCTTGGTTGCTCCCAGGCTGCTGTTCTCAGGGACCTTCAAGGGACCTGGTTGGTCTTGGGGCAGAGAGTGTCTTCTGGAGCCCTCTCTTCCAAGAAAGACCTAGTCTCCATTTCCATTAGCGAATGCTGCTTGCATATGTTCAGGACGATCTTCTAAATGGAATGCTTGTTGCACTGTTCCCTAGGCGAGGGGCTGCCTCTGGACCAGAGGACCACACTTGTGGGCCAATCATGTCCTTTACCACTGTGCCTTAGAATCACCATAGATGGACCCTCCAGGACAGAGGGGAGAGCAGATCCCAGGCCTTATTCAGGCCTCAGGTTCCGTGGGTTGGGCAGCCTGTCTGGACCCTTCCTCAGGACCCTCATCTCCATCCTCATCCTCTTTCTCCACAAGCTCTTTGATTGTGATACCATGCCAGTCATTGTAAATCATAGTGAACAGGCTCGCCCTGGCCTGTTGACTTCACAATCCAAGATGAAGAACTGTGATGCAAATAAGACATGAAGAGTTTAGCACTGATTTAAATGGTGACTAAATATAGAAAGTCGTTGAATAAATACCTGTGTAGCAAATGTATTTTGTGGAGTTTTGAGTCAGTAGGAGATGCAAAGCCCATTGCATGTAGAGACGACAGGCTTAAAGGGAATGCTCGTCTGTTGAAGTAAGGAAGACTTTCTGAAAGATATGGAACCTTTAGAACTGCTTCAGTGAAGGGAGAAGCCCTGAGGATCTGAACTATCAAGCTGGAAGAGAGGTGGATTTCTGCTACATTCATGGTTTGAAGGAAAAATCAGGCTTATAATCCATTAATACTTAGCATCGACTCTGCGCTAGTCATTTGTGTATGTTTTGCAAGTCCTGATCGGTGGGAGAAGAAAGCTGAGCTGGGCTGAGATGGCCTGATGAAGGACTTCAGAATCTGAGGAGGATTCTCAGATTCTCCTGTCTGGGGAGGATTCTACCTCAGAAACTGCAAGGCCCAGTTTGGGCTTCTTTCTTACAAACTCTGGTACTTTACAGTCCAATCTTTCACCTTCTACGTATAAGTGAAAGTCTACTTAGGGGATGGGACCTATTAAAAAAAAAATCAAGGTATGCTACTTTTAAAGCAAATGTGAAAACTCATAAAACAGAAATGGGGTGGTTTCGTTATTCGTCATGACTCACGTAAGATTCATTTTAACCTAAAATTCTGTGTTGAAATATTGTGTAGCTTTTATATGCTTTAGCTGTTTCATAGTCATCATAATGACAGTGCCTACCTGTGAAGAACTTCCATCAAAATGGGTAGATGAGACCTACACATGAGGTCTTTATCCCATAGTTCAGTGTAGACCCACTGTGCGTGTGAACCTTCTGTCCTCAGGGAGACAGCCTCCCAGTGGTGCTCTGAGGATTTGTGATACCATGCCAGCCGCTGTAGATCACAACAAGCAGGCTCGCCCTGGCCTGTTAACTTCACAGTTCAAGATGAAGAACTGCATAGACTTAGCTGAGATTCATTTCATTTACTACTTGCCTGTCCACCTGCCTTCCTGTAGGTGAACACACTTGACTTACCCATAAGTATTTGGAATTTACCTCAGGAAGTAAAGCAAGTTTTCAAAGTTTTGGTGAGGTTCAAATTAATACCGAGATCCAGGAAATGTCCAGGATAGAAAGATAAAAAACGAAGAGTAGTTGGAATCTACACTCCTACTGAATCTAGTCAAAAGCAGAAATCCTTATCAATATACTTAAAACTAGTTGAACACACTTACTGTGAAACAGTTAAATTTTGTAAACAAGGCTGGGCAGTTCTAAAATTTGTAACCCTTTCACCAAAATCTGAAGCAGATAACTTTCAGCCTATTTTTTAAACATTTAAATTTATCCATCTTTATGTGTTATGCCATTCATTGACATTTCTCCTGTTTTTTCCTCTTCATCCTAGTTTTAAGAAATTTACAATAATCCCCCTTTTCAGCCGGAACTGCCATCTTCCAGGTAGGGCCTTCGCGTGGCTCCCGGCGCCCCTCATCCCACACGCTAATTCACCAGAATGACCAACACAGATGGAAAGAGGAGAGGCACTCGCTGTATGTTCTCTAGGCCTTTTAGAAAACTTGGAGTTGTTCCTTTGGCCACGTATATGCATAAGAAAGGGAATAGTGTGACATTAAGGGAACAGGTACTGTTCAAAAAGGAATGCCCCAGAAATGGCACCACGGCAAAACTGGAAGAGTCTGAACTGTGCAAAGCCTTTTCTGGGGAAGTAGTCGCATTAATAGCTCAAATGGACCATCTGATCATCTTAGATGTAGAAAAGACACTTTTATCTCGTTAATTCCTAATAAACGTCAGCGTCGTGCTTAACAAGGAAATGCAGCGCAGCGGCCCAAACATAGTGGTTTTTTTTTTTTTTTTCTCATTTAAAAGGCCAGAAATAAGTGGAGGGTGTAGCTCAGGGGTAGAGTGCCTGTTTAGCATGCATGAGGTCCCAGGTTCAATCCCCAGTACCTCCGTTAAAAATAAATAAGCCTAATTACCCCCCAAAATTTAAAAAATAAAAAAAAAAGCTAAATAGCTTTGATTTAAAAAAAAAAAGCCAGAAATAGTCCAGAACCATCTGTGGTGTCAACTGAAAAAAAACGTACAGCCTAAAAGCGGAGAATTATGTTTTATTTGGTGGACTTACTAAGACGATAGCCCTTAGATAGCTCTGAGGGACTGTTCCAGAAAGGTCAGGGAGGGACCAGGATAGAGAAGTTTTTGCTGAAAAAAACCAAAAACCCATGTATTTGAATATCAGAAGATTACTACTGATCACAAAAGCAGACACCTCAAGTTAATGATTTTAGTGCTTTGTATGGGATGATGCAAGAATGTGGGCTTACTGAAATCGTTCCTTTAATACTTTGATACACATCTTAACCATCTAGTGCCAAGTGTCCTGTTTTTTTCCATCCTGAATTCCCTCAGGCTACACCCTCAGAGGGTGCAGTCACTGGTGGCTTGATGGCCCTAACATCCTTTGTTTATGGAAGTGGCAGTCAACATTCTTTGTCCACAGTGGTGTATCCATCACAGAGGCATTAGGGACCGAAGCTCCAACCCAGGGATGTGCTCGTCAACATGTCACAAGATGATGGCTTTAGCTGCTGACATTCTGGGCCACAGGAAGGGAGTCTGGGAGGAAGGAATAAAGGAAAATGTTAAGATTTCCTGAAAGTTACACGTGATATTTGCACTCACATCTTACTGGCTTTTTAGTAACATGGCCACACCTGGTACAAAGAAGGCTAAGAAATTATATTTGCATACAGTGCCACACACTTGGCTACCAAAGAAGAAGGGGAGACTGGACATTGTAGCAATTTGTGTACGTAAGACACTGTGGCAGTCTATCTGGGGAAGGAAAAAACTGCTTTTATATTTATCGAATGACCCCAGTTTAAAACCAAACAACCCAGATATTTATATTCATGTATTACAGTGGTAATCTTTGGGTCACAGAATTACAGGTGAGTTTTCTTTAAATTTTATCTGAGTTTTCTAACATTCTAAGCTGAAAAAAAAATTAATGCTCAATGTTAGTTTTTCAAAATTAAAATACAAAAGGTGGAAATTCTTCCCTCCAACCCCTTTACTCTTCTAGGAGACAGTATTAATTCCTCGTCTGTCCTTCAAGATAATTTAGGAATGTTCAAACAAACTGTTTTGTACTTTGCTTTTCTTAAACTAAAAACATAGATGGCTTGGAGATAACGCCACTATGAGTATGAACTTCTTACTAGAAAAAAAGAATAGCCCCCGCCCTCCTCTCTCCTAATAACAGATGGTATCAGTCGGTCCTTTATATGTTGAATGTGCTTTGTATTAAAACTGGCCCATGGACTTCCTGACGGTTTTCATGTATCCCCAGCCGCTCCCTTCCTGTGGGCCCCAGCCAGCTTGAGTCTGCCCTGCCACCCTCTCCCTCCTGCCTTGTTCCTGGCAGCCCTGCACATAGAGTGACACCAGTATGGGTTTTGGGGTCAGATTCAGTTTCTAGTTATTTCGCCACCTCATGCAAGTCACTTAACAACTCTGGGCCTTGTTTTTTTTATATTTTAACTGGTAAAAATGTTAAAAATCTACTTCTTAGGTTTTGGTGATGATTTAATGAGACCAACAAAATACCAGACCCCATAAGTAGGGTGCTATTGTTTCTCCTTGAATCACCTCCTCTGAGAGTTCTTCACGTTACTACCTCGGTTGTGGTGACTTCTGCTTCATCATTTTGTTCATTTCAGAACCTCTCCTGCTCTCATGGAAACCAATGAAATTTTGCTAAGGATACTAATATTTGCAGAGGCAGCAAAAAAAGGTTGCTTTAATAAAATCTGCCCATCCCCTCTATATTCATTAAGATTAGGACCAGCTGCAAGAAATGGGGAAAACGTGGGGGGAGGGTATAGTTCAAGTGGTAGAGCACATGCTTAGCATGCATGAGGGCTTGGGTTCAATCCCCAGTACCTCCTCCAAGAATAAATAAATAAACTGAATTACCTCTCCCTACCCCCCCCCCAAAAGAACTAAAGAAAAAAAAAGAAACAGGAAAAACCCAAAGTAACAAGTGGCTTAAAAGATATTTAGGTGTCTTAGCTTCCTGGGACTTCTGAACAAAGTTGGGTGACTTAAAGCAATAGAAGTTTATTGGCTAGAAGCCTGCAGTCAGGGCCACGCTCACTCTGAAGCCTGCAGGAGAATCCTAGTGTCATGCAGCAGTCTTCAGCATTCTTTGACTTGCAGCTGCATAACTCCAGTCTCCACCTTCGTTGTCATGTGATGTTCTCCAGTGTGTGTCTTCCCATGACCATCTTCTTATAAGGACCCTGATCATACTGGATTAAGGGCTCACCCTATGTCAGTATGATCTCATCCTAATTAGTTGCATCTGCAGTGATGTTATTACCAGATAAGGTCTGGGAGGTGGACAGGAGGGAGACAATTCAAAGCATAACATTCTTGAATTCAGAACCCCAGAGGTCGTGAAACTAGGACTGGTGTGCAGTCCATGGTACGAGGCACCTACATACCTTTAATCTTGTTGCTCTGCCATGAATGACTTCCTGCCTAAGACGATGGTTCAGATGACAGTCTTAATTCCAGTCATCATATCCACATACCATCAGCAGGAAAGGAGGAGAGTTGTAGGATATACACCATTTTTTTAAGAACACCTTGGAGTCCCCCACATTTAAGTTCTCACATCCCAGTGAGTCATCTCAGAACAGTCACATGAACAGACTTAATTGTACAGAATACTGGGAAATGTCTTTATTTTGAGAGGCTGTGGATCTGCAGGGGAAAACAAAGCAGAAACTAACTAGCAGTGTCTGCCACACACTCCTGATGCTTTCTCATCCCATGATTTTCTGATACTCTTCTGATTTTTCCCCCGGTTCTTTTTCCCCCCTTGAAACTTCCAAATATTGGTATTTTGTCAAACACTTTATCCTTAATCTTCATCCCTACTCTACCAGATCTTCCCGAAGTACAGATCTGACCCTACTATTTCTCTAGTGACAACTCTTTGATCATTTCTACCTACCTTTTTGGATTAAGTAAAACCAATTTCCCTAGCATTCCAAATTTTCCACAGTATAGCCTTACCCAGTCTTGGCCTCATCAGAACCTGTTTCCTTTTTTTTTTTTTTTTTACCCGCCTTAACTCTAAAGGCTGTGAGGGTTAACATGGAAGTGTAAGCGAAAGCAAGTTTTAATCTGTAAAAGTCTGTAAATATATAAGGAATCTATGGGTGAATGGGTCCTATGCTCTAGCCAATTCGGATTCTTCCCTGACCTGTGAATTTGTCCAGTAGAAATGGAGAGGGCTTCCACACATCCTGGCTCTGCCGAGAAAGACCCTGTTTCTTCTAGCAAACATGCTTTGTTCCAGTGATCCAGACAATGCTGCTGCAACTTGATTCTGGTCACTGGGCATTTCCCTGTTATTTTTCAGCTGTTTCCTTCTGCTGAGCTCCTGTGCTCTGCTCACAGGACAGACACACATACTAGACAACAATATTATACGTCTGACAGTGGCTGTTTGTACCATGCTGTGATATGCTGGGACACCTCCCTAAACATGGGGTAGCAGGGGAATGTATTAACCAAATTTAAGAACCCGAGAGGCAGTGAGACTAGGGCTGGTGTGACAGTCCCAGATCTTTCAATGTCCTCTCCTTCCACTTCCAGCGGCCATGTCCGTAAGAGAGTTCCTCATGGGCAGGCGTGATAGGAAGCAGATCTATCCCATGTGAAGCCAGTCTGGGTGACTTGGACACCCATTAGGCCCATTGAGGGTCACAGTTGGCATATCACAAAAAAAAAAAGTGGGCTCAGAGGCAGGACTTTTGGTTATGGCCCAGTAAGGAAAGGTACAAGATAAATATACAAAAATAAAGCATGTATCACAAGAAACAATACGAAAATCAAATTAAGAAAATTCCATTCACAATAACATTAAAATGAATACAATACGTTGGAATAAATTTGACAAGTGCAAAACATTTGTAATGTACAACTACGTGATATTGCTGACAAAAGTTAAAGAAGATCTAAATTGGAGGTTCTCAACCAGGGCTGAGTGTTCCCACTATGGGACAGTTGGCAGTGTGGAAACATTTTTGGTTGTCACAGTTTGGGGGAGGGAATGCTACTGGCATCTAATGAGTGGAGGATGGAGCTAAACATTTGTACAATGCATAGGACAGCCCCCACAGCAAAAACTTTACCTGGCTCCAAATGTCAATAGCACCAAGGTTGAAAATCCTGCTCTAAATAAATGGAGAGGCATTTCATGTTCATGGATTGGAAGACTCAATATTGTCATGATGCCGATTCTCAAATTGATCTATGAATTCAATATAATCCCTATTTCAGCAGCTTTTGGGGTAAAAATTGATAAGTTGATTGTAAGATGGAAATGGAAAGGGTCTGGTGTAGCAAACCAATTTTTTAAAAGAACAAAATGGGAGAACTTACACTACCAGATTCCAAAACTACTATAAACTACAGAATCAAGACAGTTTGGTACTGGTAGAAGAATAGGTGTATAGATGATGGAACAGACTCAAGAATCCAGAAACCCTGAAACATTGGAGTTTGGAGCAGAGAAAGGTTTATTGCAAGGGCCGTATAAGACTTAAAACACTTGAACTCTCCAACTCTCCAGGGAAGAATTTTTTATAGGCAAAATTTGAGGAGAGGTCCAGATGTGGAGTATGTGACTCTCCTCTTGATTGGTGAGGTGGTGAGTAGGGTGGTGGTCCAGAAATCTCAATCATGAGCCTTCTGGTTCTAACTAGTCTGTGGTCCATGTGCTAAAGTTACCCTCCTCCACCTGGGTGGGGGCCTTAGTTGCTGTAGAACTCAGAGATTTGTATCAGATTGTTACGTATGTCCTTGGGGAGGAACAGGGACCCTGCACCTATTTCTTGACTGCCCTGCGCTATCATTTCTTGGCTACCTTTCCTTTGTTTCTGCATCCCCTCACTCCTCTAATCAGTAACTGTTTGAATCTGCCTTTTAAAACTCAGGGAAAGTCTAAGAGGTTGAAACTTTTTTTCCTACAAATGAGAAGTGGACATGGAAAGGCTTTTGTACTTGGGAGGGTCCCACTGGGTCCTGCTCTGTTTCACTAGGGCAGGGGGTGAGAGCAGAGATTAAGTGTAAATGGGCAGGAAGGAAATTTTTGGCTGATGGGAATGTTCATGTGGAGATAGCACAACTTTCTAAATTTACTAAAAACCACTGAATTGTATATTTACAGTGAGTAAATTTTATGTCCTGCAAATTATTAACCAATCAAGCTGTCTTTAAAAGGCGTCAGCTCAACACGGAGGGGAAGGGCATATTGTAGAGGCTCCTAAGGCTTTTGAGCATGCCATGGAACGTAATCAGTTTGCTCTTACAAAGGCGAGTGTACCAGTTTTTCTAACTTGGGGATTTAGCTTCTTAGATATATAGAGTCTTCAAGAATTACTGTATGCACTAAATCAGAGTATGCCTGGGTTAAGAATGATAAATGGCAAAATTATTCACAACTGTACACAAAGGATCTTTTTGTTTTTGAAAAATTTGGTTCCCATGACAAAGGAGGCCCTCCCAGATAGTCTCTTTTCTGAAGTGGCAAATTGTTTCAGGTTAGAGGAAACAATGAGTGCAGACTGGTGAGTTCCAGCGTGCTGTGTTTCAAGAAAAGACAGGAGGCCAAACCAGCTAGAGCGATGGGAGGAACCGGAAGAGTGGTGGACAGCGGCCAGATCACATTGATTCATCTGTCCCCTTTGGGAGAGCAGAAAAGTATCGTTAAGAGTTCAGGCTTTGCTTGAGTTCAAATCCGCACAGTGCCACTTTCCAGCTCTGTGACTTTGAACCAGTTGCTTAACTGCCTCAGCTCTTCCTCTGTAAGTTGGGAAGAATAACTAGTCATAGGACAGTGAGGACTAAGTGCCCTAATACACGTAAGGGCTTTAGAGTAGGCACATATCTCAGGCTCAACAAGCACTTAAGTTAGCAGAAGAAGCGGGATGCTCATACCCGCTAGCCGCTTTCAGACCGGAGTACTTCCTGAAACGCGGCAGTCGCTATGGTAACGGCCACCTACTTCCGGAAGAATTACGGCGCGCGGCGAGGGTCAATCCCAGCGGTACACCTCAGCGAGCAGGCTAGGGGGCCGCGGAGGGGCCGTTCGGCGGCACTGTAGATTCTCGCCCGCCGCTTCCCAGGCCGGCCCCCAGTGCTCTCGCGGGGCCGCCCGCTTCTGCAGCCTCGTGGCCGCCCGGAGCCAGCTCTTCAGGCCTGGACACCGAGGCTGCCGCGGTGCGGCCATGGACTTCTCCAAGTTCCTGGCCGAAGACTTCGACGTGAAAGAGTGGATCAACGCGGCCTTCAGGGCTGGCCCCAAGGAGGCGGCGGCCGTGAAGGCAGACGGCCACGCGGCCACCCTGGTCATGAAGCTGCAGCTGTTCATCCAAGAGGTGAACCACGCCGTGGAGGGTGAGCGGCCGGGCAGAGCTCCCAGGCTGGCGCGGGGCCCCCGGGGTGCGCGCAGCGGGCAGTGAACGCCCGCGCCTCGAGCGGACAGAGCGAGCCCTGGCCCCGTTCTCCTTCAGTCCCTCCGCGGACATCCAGGAGAAGGTCTCAGCCCGCTGCTCGTCTGTCTGGAACACTTTGCTGACTAGGGGGTCTTGGTTTTCCACCTCTGGCGGTGCTACCAAGCGTCCTTTTAAAACTTGAAAGGGTGAATGTAAAGAATATTAAATAATAGTCAACTGATCCTTACATTTGGCAAAAGCATATTAAAGGTATATAGAAATGACAGAAATCTGGGAAGCTTGTTTTGGTGGATCTTCATGTCAGTGAGGAAGTGGGTTGGCCTGACTGAAGACTTAAGTATCGATATAACTAACCAGAATAGTTAATTATAATAAATAACACACACCAGCAACAATTTCTATGACTCGTGGACTGACTTGGTTTTAATTCACTGCATGTTCATTCGGTACCTACTGCAGCGCATCTCTCTGCTAGGCTCTGTGGGAAAGATGGCTCAGACAGCTCACACTGGGAGCTTATGGTCCAGTGAATAGAAATTTGTAGATGTGTTCAGTGTTTAAGGAAAGGTGGAGCGGAGGGACGCTTTATTCCACTGTAGATTCTTTATTGTACTTTGTTTGCATCTTTTACTAATTTGTGAACGTCTACTCTGCATGTGTCAAGAAATGAGCACGGAGGGTGGAAAGTTTACCATTCTGGAGCTTGCTGCCTTGTGGGGAAGATGTGTAAACAGTTAACTTACAACTTACAAAGCGGGGTGGCTTTACTGAGAAGAGAACCAGGAGCTGTGAGAGCTGGATGAAGGATGCAGTTACCTCTTGTCTGGGAGAATCACTGGATGAAGGCTTTTCCTGTGTTAGGCCTTGAAGGAAGACTTCACAAGACAAAGATGGGAAGGGCATTAATAGTAATATGATAGCAGATATTTGAGTCCTTGGTATGTGTCAGGTACTATTTTAAGTGCTTTATGTGTATTAACTAAGTAGTTATTTTATCAACCAGGGGTGATAATGCTGCAGCGCCCCCCACCATTTTGAAGTTGATGGGAGTTTTTTAAGTTGTTGCAATGGTGGGGAATTTCACTATGATGGATATTAAGTGGAAGGACCCCTAGTGATGCTTAATGCTTGGGACAGTTCTGCACAGTGAAGAAGTGTCCTGGCCAAACTGTTAATAGTGCCCCCCACACCCACCCCACTTTTGTCATGATTATCTAATTTAAACATGACAATAATCCTTATTCTTCCCACTTTTTAGTTGTAGAAACTGCAGCAGAGGGAAGTAACTTGCCCAGCATTGCGTTGCTGGTAATGAATGGGAGCCTGGAGTTTGAACCCAGGCAACTGGTTCCAGAGCCCAGGCTCTTACCCATTATGCTTTACTGTATTGAAAGGAGAGGGAACCATGCACAGAGGCATATGGGTATATAAAGGCCTAGCCCGTCCAGAGAAAGGTGGGAAGTTCAAACAGAGCTTCATCAATAACATCAATAAATACGTCATAAGTATTATTATTGTAGGAGGATCACACTTTAATGGGGTAAACTTCTGCTGGAGATAAGGCAGAAAAGTCGATTAGGATCAAACTGTGTGAAAGGCCTTTTTGGCCATCCTAAGGGTTTGGATTTCATCCCATGGGCAGTAAGAAGCCTTTGGAGGGTTAAAGCTTTATTTTATGGAAGATGAGACAAGGGCCCAAGTCTGCAGTTAACTGCAGTGATTTAAGCAGGAGTTGTTGAGGGCCCCTAATAGGAGGATTGATTTGTTCATTCATTCAGTCAGCAAATATTAATTGGGTGCAATTTATCTTACAGGTTCTAGAGATACGTTTTTGCACAAGATTCTTTTCTTAGGTTGGAGAGGTGCGCAGGGGCCAGGTCATGCAGGGATTTTAATGTCACGTTAAAGAATTTGGATTGGATTTAAACTGAGCGTAATGGAAAGGTACTGGAGGATTTTCAAGCAGGGGAATGAGATAAGTTTGATTTATGACCCCATTCAGGAGACAGTTGCTGTGGTCCAGAAGAGAGATGAGAGTGGCTTCATCTGGGGTTATGGCTATGGAGATGGTGAGAAATGGGTAGATTTAGGATGTTTTTTAGGAGGAAGAAAGGGGAGGATTTGCTGATGCATTGGAATGAGGGATGAGAGGGGGAGAAAATCAAGAATGATAGCAGAGTCTTGAGCTGAGCAACCGTGGATGGAGGTGCCGACCGTACAGCAACGTAGAGAGGATTTGTAGTGAACGTCCATATACCCACTACCTCGAGTCTACAATTTACAGTGTTCTGTTCTTGCTTTATCACAAATCCATCCATGTATTTTATTTTTTGATGTATTTCAAAGTTGCAGACATCAGCACACTTCATCCCTACACATTTCAGTTAGAACCATAAACGTTACACAGTTCAGTCTATGTTTATAGCTTTTTGTTTTTAAACTAGATACTATTTACAGACAGTGAAATGCATGGACCTTATCTGACCAGTTTGATGGGTTTTGACAGGCATACACAGCTAGTATATAACTGAACCCCGCATCAAGATATAGAATGTCACCACAGGATGACACACCAATATGTACACTTTATATTTTCTATCATTTGTATACATTAGTTTTTAATAAAATGATTTCATTTAAAAAAAAAGATACAGAATGTTACCATCCCCCTCACAGTGAAATTTGGCCCTCACACTCCCAGAGGCAACCATTGGAAATGATGCTTTTAAAATGGGTACAAGAATGAACTAAATTGGGAGGGGCTGTGGAGAGGGAAAAAGAGGTACATAGGGAACCAGCCAGGCCTGGAGAGTGAGTCTGGTTCAGCAGGCAGGGGACCAGATATTAAAAGCCACTGAAGTCTCTGTGCTTTGAAGAAGTCTTTGTGCATCCTGCCTTTGTTTTCATAGTCTTAGAACTTTAGCCACAGTCAGTGCTGGAGGCAAATTGTTATTTTTTGGCAGAGTTGGATGAACAGGTTCCTGAAGTGTGTCTTTGAGATGTTAAGATCCCATTCAGCACACGGCTGGAGGGGGAGGCTCTGGACTTCTTTGGTCGGTTCTCCAGTGAATTGCGCTTTCAAGGGCTAAAGAATTATGCAGTTAACCCTCCCATTTCCAGATAACACATCATGGTCTGCAAAGATTTTGAGATTTTATTCTACAATTGGGATGTCTGTTAAAAAAACGTGAGTTCCTTGATCTCACTTGATCTCTTACTGAGACTTAGTAAGAATCTCTGGCAGGTGGCCTAGGGACTACCTGCATTTTAACTGCATTCTAGCTGATGCTCATGGTTTGCATTTTGAGAAGGACATGGCAAGTAGGCATGGGTCCAGACACACATAAGGCTTTGGTTTCAGCTCTGTGGAATCTTGGGCAGGTTACTTAACCTCTCTGAGCCTTAGTTTCCTTAGCTGTAAGAAATAGCTGCCAATGATTGCCATGGATGTTGAGTGGCATAATGTATGCAGAGCACCTGGCACAGAGCTGGCATCCACCAGTGTCAGAGTCCGTCATCCTCCTTCCTTGAAAAAGGAGTTACAGTTTAACTCAGTGGTGGAAAACAGTGGATGTTGGGTCCGGTTGATGGCTCATTCCTAGTTAAACCAAGCGGCCCTCACCATCATTCTGGGGAAAACAGGGTCCTGGCAGAAGCCCTTCCCACCGGCTCCCCACCCACCTCCCTGCCCACCACCCCTTACTTTCCACAGGCTCAGAAAACTGCGTGGTTGGTAGTGACTTAGGCAAGATTTGCTTTCATGTTGTCTGATTTATTTATATTGTTCACTGGTGAGTGTTCCGCTGTTCACCTTTGGTTCTTGGGTTCTCGCTGCAGAAACAAGTCACCAGGCCCTCCAGAACATGCCCAAAGTGCTCCGGGATGTCGAAGCCCTTAAACAGGAAGCCTCTTTTCTGAAAGAACAAATGATTCTCGTCAAGGAGGACATTAAAAAATTTGAACAGGACACGTCTCAATCAATGCAGGTATTTTGGCACCTGTCCTAAGTGTTGACTCTTGCTTTCGGGAGATGTTCACTTTCCTAGTAGGAGGCCCTCTTACCTCAAAATTCGACCAAGCACTCAAACGACTCTTCTGTGTGGTTCTTTCAGCATCTTCATCTCTCTTCAGCACTGCTGAACGGCTTAGCCGTGTGATCGGTGCTGTATGGGGTACAGAGGGTCCCTAAAGGCGGGAGCGTGCCATGACACTTACGTTTTGAGTCACTGGCGGCAGGTAGAGAAGATGGAACTGCCACTTCCTTAGTGCTTAGCCCTCATTTCTCTTTTAGGTATTGGTAGAAATCGACCAGGTGAAGTCGAGGATGCAGCTTGCCGCTGAATCTCTTCAAGAAGCAGATAAGTGGAGCACATTGAGTGCTGACATCGAGGAGACATTTAAGACTCAGGTAGGTGTCTCGTGTAGGGGATGCTGTGAAATCCCTTGAAGCAGGAACTTGAGGTTTGGAGAAACAAATGAGACAGCTCTGCCACTCACGATCAGAAGGGATAGTAAATAACTAGGTGTGGAAACATTCAGGCACGGGCTGGGGAAGATCTGAGACTACTCTGAGTATTCCCACCCTCTTTAACTTCTACCCGCTGCTTGACTGACGCCTCTTTAGTCACAAGAGTGAATTCAGGAGAAGCCTCAATTAGAAAGGCAGAGGAAATGGAGGAAACGAGAATGTGAAACTTGGACAGGAGGGCCTTACACACCATGGGACCTTGGCGAGTTGCTTTGCTCTCCCAGGTGGCAGAGCGTGCATGGAAAATAGTGACACAAATGTTGATATCTGGTTATAGGGATGACATGAGATGATGTCTTCGATAAACTCTTTCAACCGTAGAGCAAAATAAATGTTATCCCTTTTGCTATTTTTAAAAACTTTTTAAAAGTTATAAATTCCCGTGGGAAGGAATGAGTAAACAGGACTGAACAGTGAGGAGTCCTTCTCGCAGCTCTGACTGTTGATTTCCTTCTGCACACACACCCTGTCATCAGCTTTGTGCCTGTCCTTCCAGATGCGCACACATGCGTGTTCCCTGCCTTTTTTTCCCCTCACAAAGTTAGCACCTTGTGAACACTGCTTTGCATGTGGCTTTTTTCACTCCACAGTCTATCTGTTCTTCTGTATGAGGTGTCCTTATCTTTAAGTTGTAACAACAGGTAGAGCCCTCCCCTTCCCATTCCATTTCCGAGCCCCTCAGGGCACCTGACACATTCAGTTGATCCAGGCTTCATCCACGTAAGTAGCAAATCTCACTGAATTCCTGGCCCCTGTGCGTGAGAGGGAGTGGACTGAAATTGCATCTCTGATTTGAATAGTAGCAAACTGTTGTTAGTTAGCTGAAAGTTACATCTTGGTTTTCTCCTCCCAACTCACCTGATATTCAGAACTAACTGGACTCCAGATGCATCCAGCTGGACTGCCCCAGGCTCTTCAGAAATGGAATTCATTATTTCTGTCCAAAGCCACTCTCCCTTTGCTCTGCTGGTTAATGGGTCATTTTCCATGCAGATATCTAGCTGGGAACCTCCACAGTCCTTAACTGCTCCCTCCTCCCCAGGCCCCCCATATTTCTCTCCAGTTGCCTGTTCTTTCTCTCCCGCTGCCAGCGCTGTAGTCAGGCTTTCCAGTCCTTTTACTGCTAGACCATTGCAACAGCCGGCCACCGGCCTCCTTGCCTCCAGGGCCCTTCCCCGCTTCTGGTTTATCCCCTGCCTGTGACCAGGGGGCTCTGCTAAAGCAGAGATCGGCTCGTGGCATTTCCCTGTCCTTCATGCCCCTACCCCCGTTTCAACCTCTAGCGAGTCCCCGTCTTCTCCCGGATAAACCCGAAGCGCACTCACAAGGCAGCCTTTCACTACAGGGCTGTGTGCAGCCCGTGTTTTCAGCTGCTTCTCCGGCCACTGCCTGCATGTGATTTGCAGCTCTGCCTGCTCCAGACTGTTAACGCACATCGTCTTTCATGCCCGAGATCCCTGCCTGAGCTCTCCTTCCTCTCCTTTTCTTTACAGTAGAGTAGGCCTCCACTCGTCCCTCAAGGTCTGACTCAAGTGTCACCTCCTTTCATCGCTCTCCCTGCCGGCTCCTCACCTCTCGTAGGGAAAATGAATGGCTCCCTCACCTCTGCTCCTATAACCCTTGAGCCATCCTCTTAGACTGGGTCATAATCTTTCTGTCCCAGTACATTGTGAACTCAGGGGCTGCACGTGAACTTCCTCGTCCTTGTGTCTCAACATCTCATACAGCGTCTGACGCGTCAGAGACACTGCTGAAATGACATGCAGTTACTTATTACTCTCTTAATTCTTTTTTAAAAATAGCATTTATTTTTCCAATTGTAAACATCATTTATATGTGTCTTAGAACATTTGGAAAATTCAGAAAAATACAGGGAAGAAAACAGAATGATCCTTATTCCTATGTCCTAGTAATATTTTTTTAGTATTTATTAGGTGTTTTTCTATGTATTTGTAATAATTTGTACTTATAATATACCTTTTGTATGTATGCATATTTGATAGGTAAATATACATTTATGTATGTTTTAGTGTTTATATGCTTTTTTAATTTGTTTCACGTAATATTAAGTTGTAAATATTTTGCTATGTAATTAGTACTTTTCAAAAACATTATTTTTTAGGGGCTGCACAATATTCCACATGCCATTATGAGGGACCCATAATTTATATTTTATTTCTTATTATGGAAGATTTAGGTTCCTTCCAGGTTTTGGTATTATTTTGTTATTATAATTCATTATAATGCATTAAAATCTCTGTGTCCCTCTGATTATTTCCTTAGACAAATTTCTAGAAAAAGGAAATACCATGTCAAAGGATGTGAACGTATTTAAGACTGTGGATGCATATTGCTAAATTGCCTTCCAGAAAGAATATAAATTTAGACAGACTTTTTTCTTTGCACCCTTCCCAGCAATAGCTGTTACACCTTTTCAGAAGTTTTTCGAATTGTTAGGGGGAAAATGGCACTTTCTTGTTTCAATTTGCATTTATTTGAATACTAATAATAGTTACCATAATGTGCCTATGGGCCATTTTCTTATTTTGTGAACTACTTTTTCATGTATTTTGTCCATTCTTAATTGAAGTAGCAAGGGAGTTTGAAAATAAATACCCTCTATTCTGGTCTTTTCGTAGGACATAGCTGTGATTTCTGCCAAGCTAACAGGCATGCAGACCAGCTTAACGATGCTTGTTGACACCCCAGACTACTCAGAAAAATGTGTGCACCTGGAGGCACTGAAGAACAGGCTGGAGGCCTTGGCCAGCCCCCAGATTGTAGCCGCATTCACCTCTCAGTCTGTAGGTGAGTGCTGGCCGTTTCTCATCTCTGTGTGCACTGCTTTACAAAGCTAAGGCTTTCTGAATCTTCAGCCTTTAGAATGTCTTAACGTTGATTAAATCACGTAGATTGGAAGTCAGTCTCTAACTTTATGGTGGTTGCGTGTTCTTCAGCATTTTACACGAGCTTCTTCAAAATACAGAAAAGTTGAAATCACTGTCGGTGAACATACCATCTAGATCCTAGCGTTGGCATCCGCCTCATTTGCCTTCTCCTGTATCTACCCACCTGTCCATCTCTCTATCCATCCATCATATTTTTTGGATGCATTTCAAAGTAAGTCGCAAACATCAGTACACGTCCCTCCTAAACACTTCAGGATTCACGTCAATAACCAGAGCTCAGTGTTCGTTTATGAGTCTTCCTTTTTGGGGGTAAAGTTTATGTTTAGAGAAATGTACAGGTCTTTAGGATACCATTTGAGTTTTGACCCTTATCGAGACCGTTACGATGCTTTATTATTTTCCAGTGAGTTTTTTCAACAAGTAAGTTTATCTGACTCTCCCTTTCCTTTTCATCCACAAAACTATTGGTTAAAGAGGAAGCAGCAGCCGTAAAGCTGTTTTCTGACCTTCACAGCTATTTATGTTGGCGGAATGTAGTCTGTGTCCACTGCCCTGCTGCCTGCGCTCTTGCTCATATATCATGCAAGCCCTTCTACCCTGGGGGTAAGGTTCTCCTGCACCTCTTCTGTTGAAGGTCTCCAACAACGGTGTCATCACCAAACCCGAAGGCCCAGTATCACTTTATACTTTTCTGCTTCTCATTGTCAACAACAGTTAACAAGGTTTTTTTCCCCCTCCTGCTCTGAAAATGCTTTCTTCCCTTGGCTCTTGAGACGTAGCATCAGTTTGGTTTTTGTGATGGTGCATTTCTGATGATGCAATGAAATCATAAGTTCTGATGTCCTTTTTTTCCAATTTTTTTTTAAATTTATTTTTTATTGCAGTAACGTTGGTTTGTAACATTATATAAGTTTCACGTGTACAACATTGTATTTCTGTATATACATACACTGTATACACTACAGCGTACTCGCCACCAGAAGTTCTGTATCCGTTCATCACTATACAGTTGGTCCCCTTCACCGACTTTGCCCCTTCCCCTCTGGTAACCACTACTCTGTTCTCTGCATCTAAGTGTTCGTTTTTGTTTGTTTGATTTTTTTTATAGTTCACACATGAGTGAAATCATATGGTATTTGTTTTTCTCCATCTGACTTATTTCACTAAGCGTGATACTCTCAAGGTCTATCCGTGTTGTCGCAAATGGCAAGATTTCATCCTTTTTTTAATGGCTGAGTAGTATTCTGCTATAGAAATCACATCGTCTTTATCCATTCACCAGTTGAAGGGCCTTTAGATGGTTTCCATATCTTGGATATTGTAAATAATGCAGCAGAGAGAAGTGCTGATATCTTAAGAGTTCTGTTTGATGTTTCAGTTAGTTTTAGGATGGGTGGGTGTGCTGAGACCAGGATTTAGTGTTTTGAAAAAAATCTATAGCTAGATAATTGTATATATAAATATGCAGACATGTGCACGCTTAAGTTCTTACCATACATAAACGTTACAAAATTTCAGTAGGCTGAATTTGACCATATAATTTATTATTAAATTAGGACACTTTGAGAGGAAAAGGGAGTGCTTTTAATAATGTGACTGGGACAACAGGTGTAAACCAAGACAGTCCTGGGCCAGCTGGGACATACAGTCTCCCCAGTAGCATACAGTCCAGAACCCTTGGTGTTGTTGATTTTCTGTTTTGTTTCTATATTCTCTATTTCACTTATCTCTGCTCTAATCTTTATTATTTCTTCCCTTTTGCTAGCTTTGGGTTTAGGTTGTTCTCCCCTCCGTCCCAATTCAATAAGATGTAGAGTTTAGGTTGTTGATTTGAGGTTTTTTTTTTTTTTTTTAACTGTAAGCGTGTACAGCTGTAGAGCAGCTCCTGGGGCTGCTCTTGGGGCATCCCGTAAGTTTTGGTATGTTAGGTTTTTGTTTTCATTTGTCACTTTCTAATTTCTCTTGTGGTATCTTCTTTGACCCATTGGTTGTTCAGGAGTGTGTTGTTTAATTTCCACACATTTGTGGATTTTTCCAGGTTTCCTTCTTCTGTTGATTTTTAGTTTTATTCTGTTGTGATCGGAAAAGATGCTGCGTGATTTATATGATTTTAGTCTTTAAAAATTTGTTAAGACTTGTATTGTGGCCTAGGATGTGGTCTGTCCTGGAGAATGTTCCATGGGCACTTGAGGAGCATGTGTATTCTGCTGTTGTGGGATGGCGTGCCCTGTACTGTTAGATCTAATTGGCCTGTGGTGTTTGTTCATGTCTCTGCTTCCTTAATATCTTCTCTCTGGTTGTTTTTGACATGTTCTCTGGATGCACCTTCTGCATGCCCTGTCCCTTCTCTTTTTCACCCCCTGTGTACTCTTGCATAGGTCACATTGTGGAATTTTTTTTGTTTGTATTTGTTTCTGTTTATTCATATTTGTATGCAGGCACTGTTTTCTGGGTCTACTATTTACTGAAAAATATTGAGCGTGGGATCTCCTTGGAAACCCCTCCTTGTTCACCTGGACTTAGTTGAGAGCTTTCCTCTTGCCCTTGATTTAAAGGCTACATTCTCTGTTGTGCTGTTCAGTTGGCCGAAGAGAATGAATTCGGGACTCATCTCCAGCCTTTTCATTTTATATCTTCCCCATTTGCCAGTTCTTTATTTTGAGTCTTCTCCTGATTATCAGGATTCTAAGACTGGAGTCGGGCCTGTGGAAAGTCACCATCTGGCAGCTTTATTCCTCACATTTTCTCGCGAATTTGATGCAGCTCCAGACTGTGGAGCTCGCTTGTGTGGTTGGGGTGTTCATCCAGTGATGCGAGGTTGGGGGAGTAGGAGTGGGAGCGGCAGGGAGGGGGTGGCTCCATGAACTTAAGTTTTCTCCTTTCCTTCTGGGTGAGTTGATTACTTGGTGCTGGAATCAGGTTTGAAAGAATGCCCTGTGGGTCAGGATCATGGACTTTGGTTTCGGGGTAAGCTGTATTTGACAGCTTTCATTCACAAATTTGAATCAGGCTTGCTTCTAGATTCTACACTTTGTAGGCAGGATGCTGATTCAGAAGGGCGAAATGGCACTTTGCAGCCCTGTGGCTGTCCCACTGCTGAGCTGAGGTGGAAGCGGGCCTTGCCATGCCTGCCCAGGCCTCCCTTCGCCCCCAGTCTTTGCCTTTCTCCCACACTTCTCCACGTGTGCGTCCAGAGTTCTCCCAGCATCCCCGCTCATCGGGGGCCAGAATGATTGCTTATCTCAGTGGTATTCTCTGAAGTTTGTATTTTCCTGACTTCCGTACAGATGAATGGCATTGTGTTTTTCTTTCACTGGTTAACTTTGGTGAATATCAGGAAGGGTTTTTTTCCTCTGCAAAAGTAACATGCTCTTTAATTAGTCATCTTTCCTAGAAGGCCTACGATGCTTCTTTATCAGTTTTCAAAGAGAAATCCGGTAAATTAGCACATTCCCAACACGTTACCCCACAATCTTCATGTATACCTGCCTAGTTCGTTTCATACAACCAGTGAATCCAGTTGATAAACTGAAGCAACTTTTTGTAGCATAATTTTACATGTGGCAGGAACATTCATTTCTTGAAGTGATCTGATGAAAGTATTAAGCGTTTTAAAAGCACGTAGTGCCTTTGTAACTCATGGATTCCTGCCCACTGTTGGCAGGTCTCTGGAGTCTAGCCGGGTTATCGCCACACTGGTTACTGTTACAGCTTTTCCTTCTCAGAAGCCTTTTTGGGCTTCCCAGAAATGAAGGGGGAACAAAGCAGATATAAAAAGGTTGGGCACCTGTTAGCTCAGGTTTGCTTTTGTTTTTCTTTTTGTTTCCTTTCCTTTGTTAAATTCTAAGGCTGTGGCATCTAGGTTTTGGCCAGAAGGGGGCAGATGGGAGCCAGAGATGGTGCTTCAGTATATATAGTGGGAGACTGCTGAAACTGTCTCCCTGCCTTGTCATCCATAAGCCTGGAAGCAAGTGCTTTGTTTAGTCATTTCCTCTGCCCTAAGGGAAATACGTCAGAAACTGCTTGGTATTAGGCCCACAGAATCCATTGCTATGTGTTGAATGCTGATATTTAGCAAATAATTTTCTCATTCCTTAAACCACGAAATACATGAATGTATAGGAGATCAAGTTTGCTTGCTTTTTTGTGGTTCCCATCTGGTATAATCAAAGTAGGAATTTTCAAAGGGGTAACCAACTTGTAAATATCATTTAAAAATGTTAGTTACATGAGGAATGGCGGGGAATACAAAAATGCATAAGATTGCTACCCTTCAAAGGCCCCACAGCTTGGTTGAGGGCGAGGCTGGGAGAAAGCACAAATAGTTTCATTAACGGGCTGGAATGTGCAAACTGCCTCCGGCCTCCCCAGCATGAAGGAAAATCAAGGAAGCTTTCATGAAGTATCTAGTATATGAGTAGAACCATGAAAGATGAATTAAAAATTTTTTAAATTGTTTTTGACTGTTATATGATACATGTACAGGTTATTGAATGTTTGAAAATTAGAGAAAAATATAAAAAAGAAATGATTTACCAGTAAACTCACCACCCAGAAATGACTCTTAGTGTTTTCTTCCAGGTTTTTCCCTTCGTATGCATACATCTTTAAAGGAAAGTGTGTACATTGAGTATATGCAATTTTGTATCCTTTTCCCCCCCAGTTAACAACATAGCATGAGCACTTTCCCTTGGGGGTAAGAGTTTGATAGGTGTGGAGAAGCATTTAGAGCAGAAGGAATAACATATATTTGAATGGTACAGAAATGGGAAAACTCAGCGACTGTTTTGGGAATAATAATTAAACCCATTTTAGTGGAATGAACATTGGAAAATGGTCAAAGGTGAGGCTGGAAAGGGAGGTGGGGACAGAGCATAGTTTGCCTTGAACAGATTAAGGAGTTTCTATTCTGGGAATGATTTCATTGTTGTTAACAATTTATTAGTCAGTTTACTGAGGAGTGTGGCAGAGTGGAAGGACTGTTGTTGACTTTGCAGACGGGCAGACCTAGTTTTAAATCTTTGGGCTGCTATGTATTAGCAGAGACCTCAACTTCCTGCTCAGTAAAATGAATATAGAGTACACACTGCACAATTCTTGGGAGGATTAAACAAGACAGGCGCGCAGCTCCTGTTCCAAAGGAGGCGTTCAGTGAACATTACTTCCTTTCTCTTGAACCTCTCATTCAAGACCCTGTAGCTCTTGCAGTCACCCAAAGGGAATAATTCTTAAGGAACTCCTAAAGGTTCTATTTGAATGACAGGTACGTCATTTCTAAAAAGCCATGAAGCTCAGCAGATTTTGCTAAACTACAAATTGGAAGTCCAGACCCATAAGCGAGTTAATTGTTTTTTTTTTCCTTGAATTTAGTAAAAATGTTTCCTCATCATCTACAATGCTGAAAAAGTTAAATAGGTCTGAAGGTCTCATAGGGAAAAATAACATTTTCTTTCTCTACCCAGTCCCAATCCCAGAAGGCCACTGCTTTTGACTTCTCAGAGCTGTTTTTCCCTGGCACTTCACATTCTTTCTGCATGATAAATGTATTTGACGTAACATGGGGAAGCTTTGGAAGAAGTCCTGTGAATGGAAAGTGGACTAGCGTATCCACAGTGACCTTGTTTTGATGTTAGTACCTACCCTGCGTATTGAAGACCTTGGATATTATCCTCGCTGCTGTTTATAGATACCCATGCATTTAACCAGGAAGATGAGCAGCAGAGAGTGGGGGAAGAGAAAGGTGGCTCTCAGAACACACCTGGCAGCTTGTGCCCACTGTCTACACCTAGGTGGAAACAGGGTGGACTTGTATGGACTGATACAGCGTGGGAAATATTTTAGGGAGTGATTTAGCATTTGTTCCTATATATTTATTTTATTTAACAGATACTTACGACATGTCTCCTACGTGCAGGGCACTTTGTGAGAAGTACTTCCTTATGTCTAAGGAGAATGTGAAATCACATGCAAAGCAACATAAGTGAATGTGGGGAACTCTTACCTTTTATTGTCAGTGCCCATGCTGCTTCCTGTTGGTGCTATAAGGTTATTATACTGTTTGTTTTAATTAAAAATCAGTTATTAATATGAAATGATAAGAACCCATTGGCCATATCTTACACTTTGGGTACGTGAGGTAGAGACTAGGGACCACATCTTATTCACATGAAACCTGTGTCAGTTTAGGATTCTTTTGGTTGCAAGTGCCAAAACCCCAATTCAAACTGGCTTAAAGGAAAAGGAGTCTATATTGGCTTATAGAACTGAGAAGTTCAGGGATGTACTTCCTGCAGGCCTGGCTTGATCCAGCAGCACAGACTGTGTCATTAGAACCTGGTCTCTCTCTCACCATTTCTTGGCTCTGCCTTTCTTTCGTTCTTTCTTTGTTTCTTTCTTTTTTTTTTTTATAATTGAAGTACAGTCAGTTTACAGTGTTGTTAATATCTGGTGTACAACATAGTGATTCATTTATACATACATAAACATATACATATATGTGTACATATTCTTTTTCATTATAGGCTATTACAGGGTATTGAATATAGTTCCCTATAGTGCTGTACAGTAGCACCTTGCTGTTTATCTGTTTTATATATAGTAGTTAGTACCCGCAAATCCCAAACTCCCAATTAGGCTCTGCCTTTCTGTTCATTGGCTTTACTTCAAGGCACAGTCTCACGTGGTGGCCATTGCAGCTCTAGGCCTCCGTTCTCACAGCTCAAGAAGAGGTCCTGGGATTAATCTTGATTTCATTTCATGTGCAGCTTTGGCACCTCTGAATCAGTTACTTTGATTAGGTGGATCTGGGGCCCTGGTAGGCCAGGCCTGGGTGACGTCCTGGAGCCATAAGTTGAGTCAGCTCCACTGGAAACATTTGGATCTAGGGGAATGGAAAGCAGGGGTGTGACTGCCCAGAGGAAAACCAGAGTTGTGTTAGCAGGAGGGCAGTGGATGCTGCAGGAATAACAAGTCCACTGCGAGGCTCTACGGTACCTAGCAGGGGCCCTGCCCCAGCAGGTACTCACTGGTGGTTTTGAATTGAATTGGTTATATTGGCAAGAGCCTAGAAGTCCTTCTGTGGTTGCCGAAGTAGGTTTTCTATTTCTTTCTATTGTCCAAATCAGGAACTTCCCTCAGTTTTACAAATTTATCTATTTAATTTAATGTACTGATCTTGAAAAACGTGAATTCCTCTTTAAGGGCTTAAGTCCCCCATATTATTATTTTTAGGTTTTTACAGTGCTGTTACTAAATGGATTTGCTATATTGGCAAATTCTGCTTTATTATTTGTTTCAAGAAATAACAAATTCTGCTCTGTTGGGTAGTAATTTTTTTAAGATTGTGGTTATATATTTAGAGCAGTACACGTTGTAGCTGTTTCTTTCTAAAAATATTCTTTGATGACACATCAAAATGTTGAGTGTTTTTACAGAGTGTGATAGGATTACGCTTCTTTTTCTTCTGACATATTCTCTGTTTTCCATTTTTTCTGCCATGAACGTGCTACTTATGCTGAAAAGCATGCTATTTAAAACAATCATTAACTTGCTGCAGTTTTTGGAGTCCCTATCATGTGCTGTGCTAATTTCTAGAAACAGTGAGGCAAGACAGGAAGGATCATGGTTCTCTTGGAGCTTGTATTTCCAAGGGTGAGAAAGACAATAAGCTATTATACAAGTAACTAAGGGTGACAAAGGCTGTGACTAGTTCTGTGAAGGGGAAGATCTGATTAGGAAGGACCCTTCTGATGAGGCGAGAGCCAGAAGATCATCCCAAACATAGTAAGTACAAAGGCCCTGGGGAGGTGAAGAGCACGATTTGTTCTTGGCACCTGACCGAAGGTCTGCTTGTGTCGGTATTTTTTCATTCTTTTAAATACTAGACTGAGTCATATGAACTTGCTGTTTTTGTAGCTCAGAAATTGTTCAGTGGCAGCAGCAGCATATGGTCCAACCTGTCCCATGGTTTAGCGGTCCTGCCATTGACCTACAAGTGACTGGTACTCTCTGGGCTACAGTTTCCTCACCTGTGTGATGAGGTAGACTGATGGTTATTTCAGATGCCTTTTTGTCACTGACAGTTTTCGATTCTAGTCAGGGCCAGGACGAGGTGAGGCAGGTGAGTTGCCAAAAGCACAGAATTGAAGGAGGTGCTCATTCCCAAGAGTGAGAGCCTCCTCTGTTTCTGCAGCCTAGCCCTGATTCCAGCTCAGTTTTCTGCTCACATGTCAGGATTACTTTGCTAATGTATAACCTTAGCTATGTCTATCAGAGATGCTTATTGATGCATTAGCCTGAACAAGCCAGGGCTTGTGGTGTCGGATTGAGTCACGTGTTCTGCCCTTTACTTATTTTTCATATTTTTGATCCCCGCACGTGACTTCACTGTCCAGGGAGGAACTTCTGGATACTGGTTCACTCTCAGTTCACATTTATCCTGCTGAATTCTTTCTCCTGGCTACAACAGAAAACCTGCTAACAGTATGTCCATGTTTTATGCTGTTTTCCTCTAGATCAGTCCAAAGTGTTTGTGAAGGTTTTCACTGAAATTGATCGGATGCCCCAACTTCTTGCATATTACTACAAGTGTCACAAGGTGAGAAGCTGTGAATGGTTACCACTGTGGGGTGCTTATAGAACTGGGCTACAGAATCCCAGTTTCATACTCTGAAAGGTAAAAATATTTGCCTCCAATGCCCTCTGGCCTTTTTCTTTTAATTAGCCAGTAGGTGGTGCTCTTGATGCAGCCTGTGGATTCATTTAACAGCACATTGGGAAAAGTCACCAATTTTCAGCCTCTTTTGTATTTATAGCAGGATTTCCCTTTACAGATTGAAGGGTTGTTTTCATTTTTCCCATTTTTGTCATAAGCTTTATTACGCCCTCAGCAAGCCATAAGAATTTTATCTGTTTTCTAGAGTTGTTGAAGTTACTGCACATCTTGACAGCTTCCTTGGCTAACTTAATTCCTTCAAGTCTCAAGCCCGTGTGTCTTTTAAGCAGTCGTGTTAGGTCATGAAGTAAAACACACCCCCGTGCCCACCTCTGGTAGCACGCTGCGTGGAAGTATGTTGGCATGTTTTGGGGGCATGAGTGAAGGAGAAGGGTCACTTAGAGGACAGCAGATTCCAGCTCTGGATGATGATCAGAGCAGGTGACTGTAAAAACTTTTTTTTTCTGCCATTTTTTTTTGAAGCGAGTGGACATCAATTTGTACCTGACTGCTCGGGCGAGTAGGCAGGGGTAAACCGCTTGCCTCGGTAGGACGGCAGGGCGGGTTTAGCAGGCAGCGTGTCTTGGCCCACCCAGCAAGGCCACCTTTGTTCTGCCTCTGCAGGTGCAGCTTTTAGCAGCCTGGCAGGAGCTGTGCCAGACCGACCTCCCCCTGGACCGGCAGCTCACTGGCCTCTATGACGCCTTGCTCGGCGCTTGGCACACACAGATCCAGTGGGCCACGCAGGTAACAGCTCTTTGGGGGTCTAGGGAGAACAAAGCCTGCGGTGCCGAGGGAAAGGGCGATGCCCGACTGCAGAGCACAGCTCGAGGAGCCCTCCCCATCTGCTGCCATCACCAAGGGGGGTGGAAGATAAGCTCGGAGACCCAAGGCAGAAAAAGCTCTAGGTCTCCATTCAAACTGTTGTTACCACTCTTCTTGGTATCTTAAGTGGAACCTGACGGGACAGTGTTGCTTGTGGTTCTGCAGGAGGGCCCATGGAGCTCCTGGGGAACACCATCTTCTGATCTAAAAGCAGGGGGCCCTCAGTCAGGTGGTGCTTGAGTGACCAAGATTGTTTTTATCTTCGGGTGAAATTACCTGGCTTAAAGTTAGTTTCCCTTGTTCTTGCAATACGCCAAGAATGAGAGGAAGGGTATAACTTGAAAGGGCACCCTCTGACGTAGGGGAGAGGTGAGACAGAGGAACTTCATTTCATTTACTTTCAGGAACTTTCCATCACTTACTCTCTCAAAGTCTCAAGGCATTTTCAGCCATGAAGTTCTGAACCTTTGTTCCTTGTCTTAAGATGTGGTAGATGCTCTTTTTAAAAGGGGAAAAAGACTGTCTGTGTCTGAGGAAGACTAGCTAGGCCTGTGTATGGTGTGGCTTATTATATTTTCTTCAAAATTAGTTGTGAATCGATTCAAATATTTGTCAGTTGTTTGCTGGAATGAACTCGACTGTGGTTGGAGAGAATTCCTCCTACAGGGCCATGTCACTCAAGCTGGTTGAAAGACTCTTCTCCATCCTCATTTCTTTGTCCTGAACTAGCCTCATTCAGACTTAAAAAAACAAAAACAAAAAATGAACAAACAAACAAACAAAATGGAAAACAACCTCCTGTAGAAGTTTCACAGTTTTTATATAATCATCCATTTTCAGTGACCCTGCCCATCCCCACTCATTGCTGTGACCTTGCCTGGTCCACTGCTTGTATCATGAGGATGAAACCAGTTCACGGCCACATGTGCAGATGCCCTTCGTCATCTCAGAAGAAGATACAGACTTCTCACACTTCTATTTGGGCCTCGTCCCAAATTTTGTAAGGCATAAATTTATGCTGATTTATACTTTTGTCCCGTGGCCAATTTTCTTTTGAGAATGTGAGCATGGTAGGTGACCATCCTCTCTGGAAGCTCAGTATAGTGCAGACGAAAACCGAAGGTGCCAGGGTAAATGTGTCTGTGAAGATTTTTTTCCCCTCTATATATGTGTGTGTGTATATATATATTTTAATTTTTATTCATATATATATTTATCTCTGAAATTTATTCTTAGGTACAAATCGGTGGGAAAAGAGAAAGCACCAACAGTTAGGTCTTTTTTACTTCTTTCCACAGTCACTGACATTTTGAAAGAAACTGAATACAAACTAGTTTAATAAACATTTCAAATACCTTGACCCGTATCAAAGCTGGTCCTACAACACTCGTAGTTGTAAAACTCTGTGGACATAGGTATTTTTGAAATGCACAAGGCGGGGAATACATGCTAGCATCAAATCAATCAGTTAATTTGATAATTATCCTGGAGACTGTTCAGGTGTATAGCTGGAAAGCCGTTATCCAAAATAGCTTAAATTCTGTTTCTAAGCTCCTCTTCCTCCTACAAAGACACACTTAATTTTGTGGAAAATTTCAATATTCAATTATCAAACATGATTTTCCAGTCACTTATCAACCATTTATCTAGAATATTTTGTTAAGGTGGTCATTATGATACTTGCAGTAATAAGATGAAATAATAGTCTGTGTCAAATTAGCTCTTGAATCATCAAATGAAACAAAATCAGTAAGTAAGGATTTTTTGAGAGCCACTTCGTCTGGTCTTTCCAGCAACGGCATATGTATTTTTTAAATTGAGGTATAGTCAGTTTACAATGTTGTGCTAATTTCTGGAGTACAGCATAAAGATTCATATTCCTTTTCATGTTCTTTTTCATTATAGGTTATTACAAGATATGGAATACAGTTCCCTGTGCTGTACAGTAGGATGTTGTTGTTTATCTATTTTATATATAGTAGTTCGTATCTACAAATCCTGAACTCCCAATTTATCCCTCCCCACCCCCTTTCCCCACTGGTAACCATAAGTTTGTTTTCTGTGTCTGAGAGTCTGTCTCTGTTTTGTAAATAAGTTCATTTGTGTCCTAAAAGATTCCACATATGAGTGATATCATGTGGTATTTTACCTTCTCTTTCTGGCTTAACTTCACTCAGTATGATCTCCAGGTCCATCCATGTTGCTCCTAATGGCATTATTTTATTCTTTTTTACCCCCCAGTATTTTAATATGAAAAATTTCTAACACAGAAGAAATTTGAAAGAATTGTACAGTGAGCACCCATGTACTCACCTCCTGTGTTCTACCATGAACATTTTGCTATATTTGCTTTATTACAAATTGGTCCATCTATCTGTTCATTGACCCATCTCATTTTTTGATTCATTTCAAAGTAAGTTGCAAATGTCATTCACTTCAGGGTATACATATTCTTAACTAGAGTTTAATATTTGTTTACTGGGTTTTTTTAAAGATAAAATTGTGGAATACAATGATCTTAAATATGCCACTTGATTAGTTTTGACAAATACAATTTCACCTAATCTCCTACCAAGATGCAGAACATGACTGTCACCCTAGGAAGTTCTCTTGTGTTACTTCCCAGTCAGTCTTTGTACCAGCATCCCTGAAGGCAACCACCGTTCTGATTGTTTTCCCACACCGTAAATTAATTTAGCTCATTTTGGAATTTCAAGTAAGTGAAATCATACAGTGTATGTTCTTTTGGTGAGGCTTCTTTCCTTCAGCATGGTTTCAGAGATTTATTCATGTTGTTATCTGTTTCAGTAGTTTGTTCCTTTTTATCACTGAACATTCTTACATTCATGGTTTGAACATACCACACTTTTATTTATTCAGTCTCTTATTGATGGATACTTGGGCTATTTCCAATTTGGTGCAATCATAAATAAAGCTGCTCTAAACATTGCTCTGTTAAGTCTTTCTGTGCACAACACAGGTTCATATCTCTTGGGTAAAGACGTGGGAGTGGAATTGCTGGATTACAGAGTAGGTCCGTATTTAGATTTATAAGAAGTTGGCACTTTTCCCAAGTGGTTGTGCTTTTTGCATTCCCACAGCACAAGTGTGTCAGAGTTCTGATTGCCCCACATCCTTGCTAACATGAGGTGTTGCCAGTCTTCGTAATCTTAGCCATTCTGGTGGATGTGTTGTGGTATCTAACTTTTTAATTTGCATTTCCCTGATGACTAAGGATGCTGAACATCTTTTCCTGTGCTTATTGGTCATTTGTGTTTCTTCCTTGTGAAGCGTCTGTTCACGTCTTCTGTCCATTTTTAAAAATTGCGTTATTTGCTTTGTTAGTATTGAATTGTAGAAGTTCTTTATATATTCCAGATATAAGTCCTTTATCAGGTATGTTTTGTAGATATTTCCTTTCAGCCTGTGGCTTGAGCAGAAGTATTACTCTTGATTTTCTGTAGGGGGGTTAGCCTTTAAAAGTAATGCTTTATCTGACATGGAAAGATGTTCACAATGTAGTTTTGAAAGAAGAAAAGCAGAGTACAATCTGTTTTTGTGCAGTAAATATACATATACCTATATGTGTTTAAAATTTAAAAAATTTTATTGAAGTATAGTTGATTTACAATATTGTGTTAGTTTTTGGTGTACAGCAAAGTGATTCAGTCATACATATATGTGTACATTTTCTTTTTTTTCATTATAGTTTATTACAGGATATTGAGTGTAGTTCCCTATGCTATACAGTAGGACCTTGTTGCTTATTTTGTATAGAGTAGTTTGTATCTGCTAATCTCAATCTCCTAATTTATCCCTTCCCATCCCCTTTCCCCTTTGGTATTTAAATTTTTTAAAATATATTTTTACTGAAGTATAGTCATTTTACAGTGTTGTGTCAATTTCTGGTGTACAGCATAATGTTTCAGTCATACATGCACATACATATATTTGCTTTCATATTCTTTTTCACCACAAGTTACTATAAGATATTTTCATATTAGAATTTTTTTCCCCTTTGGTAACCATAAATTTGTTTTCTAGGTGAGTCTTATTTCTATTTCATAAATAAGTTCATTTGTGTCCTTTTTTTTAGATTCTACATAAAAGGGATATCATATGGTATTTGCCTTTCTCTGACTGACTTCACTTAGTATGACAGTCTCTAGGTCCATCCATGTTGCTGCAAATGGCATTTCATTCTTTTTTATGACTGAGAAGTATTCCACTGTGTATATACACCACATCTTCTTTATTCATTCATCTGTTGATGGACATTTAGGTTGCTTCCATGTCTTGGCTATTGTAAGTAGTGTTGCTATGAACATTGGGGTGCATGTGTCTTTTCAAATTAGAGTTTCCTCTAGATATATGCCCAGGAGTGGAATTGCTGGGTCATATGGTAACTCTGTTTTTAGTTTTTTGCTCTTTTTTTGTTCTATTTTTAGTTTTTTAAGGAGCTTTCATCCTGTTTTCCATATTGGCCGCACCAGTTTACATTCCCACCAACAGTGTAGGAGGGTTCCCTTGTTTTCTTCTAGAAGCTTGTTTAGGTTTTACATTTAGTTCTATGATCCATCTTGAATTAATTTTTGTGTACAGTCTGAGGTAGGCTCAGATTGTTTCTGCGTGGGCTGTTTAAGTTAATTCTGTGGCCCTAGTTGTTGAGTTTGGTCTTACAGTCTGAACTTTTTGGTTGTTCTTTGGCCAAAGACCAGAGCATTTCCCTTCTGCCAGCTCACTTTAAGGGAAAGGGGACACCTTTGAGTATACGGGACCTGTTGGTTGGTCAGCTGGAACTATGAAGTTTATAGTCGACAGTTCCAGCTGACCAACCAGTTAGAACTCTTTGGTGTAGAGTCGTCTAGTCTGTTCCTCCAACGCCTCAGGTCGTTTACGTGGGAGATGAGTGAAGTAGTCACTTATTGTCCAGTCCTTTCTCACTGTACAAGGAGAGGAGTCAGGATTTCTTTTTCTAGACAAGAATAGTTTTCATTTTCCTCCTTTGGTCCCTTCCTTTCTTGTAGTAAAATGTTTCTTTGTCCAATCAGGAAGTTGGACTGGGTGATATCTACAGGTCTCTGTGGTTCTCTTATGTTTGGGAATCATGAGGAGAATACATTGGATGGAGACAGAGGAGGGTTTGTATTGGTGCAACATTGTGTGGAGGGATGGGAACATACAGTGGAGGAACACTGAATTCAAGACGGGGGTTTGGCTTTCTCTAGAAGATAGCGAGCATCTGGAGCAGTGTGGGAGAATGATGACATTCCTGTTTTAAGAGTGATTTTGGTGTCAGAACGTCACCTATGTAGTTCCCCTGCCAAAAAGTCTTAGCCCTAATGCTCTCATGAGGAAACATGTGGACAAATCCAAATTAGAGACTGTTTTTGGAAACAACTGTCCTAGACTCTTCAAAAATATCAATATCATAGAAGAGGAAACAGGCAGGGAATTATTTAGATTAAAGGGGACAAGAAAATGACAACTAAATATCATTTCATGATCCTGGATTGGATTCTGCATGATGACCAAAAAAGCTATCACAAACATTAAAGGGACAGTTGAGGAAATTTGAACATGGACCATAGCAGGTAAAAAGGATTACATCAAGTATGATTAGTTGTGGTACTGTGATAGAAGAGATGGCCTTATTCTTAAGAGATACATGCTGAGATATTTAGGGGTGACATGTCATGATATCTGTGATTACCTTTCCACCGGTTTAGAGAGAAATGAAAATAAAGCAATTGTGGCAAAATGTTAATTGTTGAATCTTGCAATACTGAAACATTTAAAATGTAAGAAAAATTCTAAAATAGCACTTAATAATACTAAATTTGTTGGTGGTGAGTAGGTGAAGTGGTGAATTGATGAGGAAAGATTTAAAGACAGGCAGGCAGCTTTGTCTAGGATGGTGAGAGTAACATGGCAAAAGGCATCCAGTTAAAAAATGAACAATTATTGTTTGTTTTAGTTTTGTGAAAAATGTATTTTGACGGGGGTTGCATTGGATCTGTAGATTGCTTTGGGTAGTACAGCCATTTCGATAACATTGAATCTTCCAATCGAAGAGCACAAGATATCTCCATTTCTTTGTATCATCTTCAGTTTCCTTCTTCAGTGTTTTACAGTTTTCAGAGTATACTTAACCTCCTTGGTTAAGTTTATTTCTAGGTTTTTTTTTTGTTGTTTTTGATGCAATGGGAATGTTTATGCCAGTTATAAAATTCTGATTTTTGAAGTGAAAAAAAAAAATGAAGGGCCACAAATGGCAAAATAGCCTTCTTTCTTATGGGTGAGTTGTATTCCATTATGTTTATATGCTGCATCTTTTTTAACCATTCATCTATTGATGTGCACTTAGGATGCTTCTATATCTTGGCAATGATAAATAATGTTGCTGTTAATAGCAGAGTGTATGTATCTTTTTGAATTAATTCTTATTTTGTGGTTGGCTTTATTCCATTGATAACTATATAAGTCTAAAAAGCTAAAGCTCTAAACGTTCTTAGAAACAATGAATAATATGACACAACATTGTTAAATGACTATAACTCAATAAAAAAGTTAAAAAATAAATATAATAAAAAAGAAACAATGAATAGTACATATATGTAAATTTTAAAATATGTGCAGTGTATTGTGTATATGTATTTACATGCAATACATTGTATATGTGCAGTCGAATTGTAACAGTTCTACCTAATAAAACTGAAAAAGAAAACAGAAAAGAACAGATGTGAGGACCTGGTAACTGATAAAGGGACCGAAAGAAAGGAAAGTCAAAAGGGAGGCTTTTTTCGTAGTTAGATGCAGATGCTCCTGACAGAAATAAGAGGAAGCTGAGACAAACAGGCCTGGGCAGGTCAGCAGGAAAATAATGAATGCCAATTTGGGACATTTTTAAATTCCAAGTGAAAGTGGCTCAGCTTAATGGTGACATCCAGCAGAGGGCTGGAAGCTGTTGCTCGGGAAAGCTAAATTGGTCACGTTGGTATTTATTGGGTTAGGTTCGAATTTTCTCTGTTTCTTTCTCTCAGACTCCAGCAGTGATGTTCATTAAACTAAACTGGTGTTCACTGATGTTTTGTGAATTCTCTATGAGAATTTCAAAATTTTGTTTTCGACTTCGGTAATAATCTAAGAAAAAAAAATGTAAGTGCATTTTGGATCGTGTACCTTGACCACCTCATAACCAGTTGCTGCTGTGCAACTTCAGTGGGTGCATTTGTGCCAATAGTCACATTGGTACCCCGTGTTCTGTTGGGGGCCAATGAAGAGAGAAAGAGACGAACTTAATACTTAGATGATGGAAGTGCCGGTGTCACATGAGTCCTGTCGAGTGCCTTCGCCAACTTGGTGTTTCCTCAGTCGTTTGTAGTTTGAACAGAGATGGGGCAGTGTGAGAATCCTCATCACACACCGTGGGGAAGGGCCGGCGTGCTGAACCCAGAGGAACCTGTGCGGAGGCAGTCAGATCATACTATTGATGAGAGAGGCAGTTTAGAAGCAGTAGAACATCTTCGTCTTTCCTAAGGGAGTGCTGATTCAGTTTCCTTCCTAGAATGATCTATTCACGTTTTCTGTTTCCTCTTGAGTCAGTTTTAGTGAGTCGTATGTCCAGGAATTTTTGTCTATGTCATCTAGGTTATCCACTTTTTTAGCATACAGCTATTCATAATATTCTCTTATCTTCCTTTTTATTTCTGTAAAATTGATAGTATGTCCCCACTTTCATATCTGATCTTAGTAATATGAGTCTTCTCTCTTTCTCTCTTTTTTTAAGTCAATCTAGGCAAAAGGTTTGTCAGTTTTGTTAATCTTTTGAACAAACCAACTTCTAGTTTTGTTGATTTTCTTTATTGATTTTCTGTTCTCTATTTCATTTACTTCTGCTCTAATCTTTATTGTAACCTTTTTTTCTGCTAGCTTTAGGTTTAGTTTCTTCTTTTTCTAGTTCCTTACTGTGTACAGTTAGGTTATTGTTGAAAGGTTTCTGCGTATTTAATATATGCGTTTGCAGCTATAAATTTCCCCCTTTGCACTGCTTTTTCTGTATCCCTTTTTCATTTTCATTCATCTCAAGATATTTTCTAATCAAACTTTGAATTTATGGATTTTATAATTTTTAAACTTACACTTCTTTTGGCCTTAGTGTTACATAAGAACAGTCTTTTACCTTGTTTCATGTTTGTACATATTTAAGTTACATTATAATAAAAAAGCTATTTAATCAACACTGGGCTTGCAAGAATCCCCTAAATGTACTGTGTGCACTTTTCAAGTTTTATCTAAGAGATCTGTTTATATAAAATGGGAAAAACATCTCTTAATGACTAAGTGAATGTGAGCTCTAAAAGGCTCTGGATGTGCTATTCCTGGTGGTCCTCAGAAAAACAGATAAATCCATCTTACTGAAAGTCTGTGGCAAGGGGATTGGTGGCTGCAGGCTAGTCTGTAAATGTGCTTAAATGTCCTCCAGCCGATTCTGTGAAGTGCTCATCTTTAATTCCATTTGTCCCCCCACAATCCACACCCTCCCAACTTCTGCATTTCGTCTTCTCTCTAGCCAAGTTTTGGTGACCATCTAGCTACTATACGTGATAGATTTAAAAATAGGCACTTGGGGCCTCTGATAGACACGAAGTAGCCAATTTTTTGGACAAAGTGCAAGTCTTGGTGGTTTACTTGGCTCTCTGAGCCTGTTCGCGCTGGTGGTGAGGAAAGCTTGGGGCTTACAGCTCTTGACTTGACAGCCCACTTTCCAGCTCTCGGAGGGGGTTCCTTTGAGCGATCCCGGAGCCCGCTTCTTTAGAAGGTATGCCCCCCTGCGCTAGCGCTGATGCCTCTTCCTCTCCCTGCAGGTTTTCAAGAACCCCCACGAGGTGGTGACTGTGCTGCTGATTCAGACCCTGGGGGCCTTGGTGCCCTCTCTGCCCGTCTGCCTGAGCTCGGGCGTGGAGCGGGCCGGGCCCGAGCTGGAGCTCATCAGGCTGCTGGAGTTCTACGGCGCCACCGCCCACTTTGCCAAGGGGCTGGAGATGGCACTGCTCCCCCACCCACGTAAGCATTCCTCCCGCCAGCTCCCTGGCTTGTCTTCACTCGCTCTTTTCGAAGCTTCTGGGGCCTGGGTTTGTTTGCCTTTCCAGGTGACTGATTTTACAGAAATGGAAGGGTTCACTGTTTTCCTTCTCAACAGATATGGAAACCTTTTCCATGAAAACATTGCCATTGTGGAAATAATTGTGCTTAATATATTTACCTAGCTCCAGTGCAGCCTGGGTGCTTCACGCACTCTGGGGAAGTGACAGACACTTCTGCAGGGGCTTAGGACGTACAAGAGGCAGGCAGACATTCGTGGCAGCAAGTTGGCAGCAAGTTACGTTGGAAGGGTAGCAGACTTTCCCTTTCACAGCATCACAGAACCTCAGACAGTTCAACCTAAAAAGTAGGTTTAAGAGAGCAAATGGATTAGAGGGAGTTTTTTGATAGGACAGCAGCAGGGTTTTCAGGGCAGGGATGCTGTGTTAGGTCCCAGAGTGGCTACAGGGAAAATGGGCCTTCCCCAGCTGCCGTCTGAGAGCGAAGCACTCCTCACTCCCATTTGGGCAAACAGTGTGTGTTCCACGTTTCCCCAAGCTGTTTCCCATCCACGTTAAAAGCATCATAAACTTTTAAGTCATACAGACCTCGTGACAAAGGCTGCTGTCAAATCAGGAAGTCGCTTCAGGAAGGCCTGCTTCTGCCGTTCGGCTGCTGTGTGTCACTAACTTGGTTTATTTAGTAGTTATTCTCCTTAATTACATTCATGTATAATTACCTCGGACATTCCAGGGAGTGTGTTTATTGTTCGAGTTCCTGGTGATTCATAGGTGTTTTTGGCACACTCACTGGCCAGGTCTCGGCTGTGGGAGAGGCGTCAGTGGATGTGGGTGCTCTTGTCCCAGAGGCTAAAGAATGTTGAGGCCCTGCTTCCTGCGGGAGCAGAGTGGAAGGAAGGGACGGCCAGGAGCAGGCTGCCTTCCTCCCACTGGTGATGGACATTATTGAAGAAGAGATTCTTGACTCTGACGGGTTGTAGGATTAAGGGAGCTGGTATCTTTAATACTGCTTTCGGCAAATACTACACAAAGCGTAAATGTGTCAGAAAATTTTACTGACATGATGGTTGCAGCTTCCGTGAATGATGGAAGCAAATGAACAGAATGTGGTCACCCCTAAGATGAAATAGGAAAAGTTCCAGTGGCATTCCTTTCACCTCTTGTTTCTCAGCAGTTAATTTCCACTTCTTTGTTCATTCTTGCTTTTAACTTCTGATTCCCTGAAGATGAGCACAACCTGGTGAAAGTCATGGAACTGGTGGATGCTGTGTACGGTCCGTACAAACCCTACCAGCTGAAGTATGGTGACATGGAAGAGAGCAACCTCCTGATCCAGATCAGTGCAGTGCCGTTGGTAATGTCACAATGCTGGCAGTGGCCACTGAGGAATCATTCTGTTTGCCAGGCGTCGGGTTGGGGGTGGGACGCACTGCAGAAGGTGTGAGGTGCCGTCAGGAACGCAGAGTAGGAACAGGTGTGCAAAAAGTGGGCTCTGAGAGCTTCCTGGGCCCTTGTAGTCCAAATGTAAAATGAGACCACAGATACGCTACCAGTTTTTTATGTAAAGTCCCCAATAACGAATGGTCTAGCAAAACGAGAGGCTTAAACCTTCTCAGGAGTAAGTTGATCATCTCCCTGATTCGGTCATTTGTTGTTACGCAGTCTTTTGTTTAAAAGGCAGGTATGCAAACAGACCCAGGAGCTGCGCGTCCCTGGACGGTGCTCTAGGGCCGGGTTCACCAGGTGGGCACCAGAGGGGAACAGAGTTCATGTCCATCGCAGATATTAAGGCTGTCTCGCATGATGTTAAGTTGACATTTAAGAATAGATCCCACGGTAGTTAAAATCTGCTGCCTCCTGCCATTTTTCCGTTTTCTAGGAACACACTTAGAAAGTCTGTTCCGCTTCAGTTACATTCTTGCCCCCGAAGGAAGCATTTTCCTCTCACTACATTCTTTTGGCGTGTGTGATACGGAGAATTCAAATCCCAGCTTGAGAGCCACAGGGAAAGATGCCATCTTAATCGCAGGAAAGGGGGAAAGGGATTTAAAAAAAAATAAAGATGACTGTAAGGATTTGATGATGCTTTTTGGCCAGGAGTTAATTTCTGGGCTCTCACTGGCCACTGAGACCCTTCTTCCCTAGGTCAGGCTCTTAAACGGCTGTCACAGTCTGGGACTGCATTTCTCACAGCCCTATTCAGTGATTTTACTATGAATGAGGAGATTTGAAGCCCCCCCTCCATCTTAATGTTGTCTATTCATTTGTTTTTCAGTCTGAGGCAGCTTTTTTTTTTGTCTCTGTTTGCTGACCAGGAACACGGCGAAGTCATTGACTGTGTGCAGGAGCTGAGCCACTCTGTGAACAAGCTCTTTGGCCTGGCGTCTGCAGCCGTTGACAGATGCATCCGATTCACTAATGGTCTGGGGACCTGTGGCCTGCTGACAGCTCTGAAATCCCTCTTTGCCAAGTAAGACTCAGGCACTGGGGTCAGGGCCAGCCTCATTGGAAAGCAATGTCTCTCCCAGTTAAAAATGTGTATGTCCTGTATTCCTGCTATGAACCCTGGAGAGGCCCTTGCACCTGTATATATATATATATATATTTTTTTTTTATTTAAGTATAGTCAGTTTGCAATGCTGTGTACAATGTTTCTGGTGTGCAGCATAATTCTTCAGTCATAAATGATCACACATATATTCGTTTTCATACTCTTTTTCACCATAAGTTACTACAAGATGTTGAATATAGTTCCCTGTGCTATAGAGTATAAACTTGTTGTTTATCTATTTTATATATCAAGGGGGGATTTTTAAGGATGTTCATTGCACCAGTGTTTGTAATGGTGGAGCATTTGAGGCAGCCTGAATGTCCATCAGCTTGGAAATGGCTAAATAAGATACGGTATATTCCTACAATGGGAGTTCCCTATGTGGCAGCTAAGGTGTTAATTCGATCTACACAGAACGATATGGGCAAATCTCTGAGTATACTGTTGAGTGAATAACAAGTTGCAGAATAGTATATAGAATTTCACCCAATAAGTGAAGAGAACGTACAAAAAGTAGAGTGTATTTTCTGTAGCAGGGTTCAGCAAACTTTTTCTACCAGGGGCCAGACGGTAACTATTTTAGGCTTTGAGGGCCTTACGGTCAGTAGAGATGGACAGCGTACTGCCTTCGGAGCGTGAAAGCAGCCTAGACAACTCATAACATGAATGGACGTAGCTGTTCCAGTAAAACTTCATTTACAAAAAACCAAGAGTGCCTTTTTTGATACTTTAAATCTCATTGTGTATTCCTACGGAATAGGGGTCAGCAGGCTGTAGCTCATAAACCAAGTCTGGCCTGCCGTCTGGTTTTGTTAAAGTTTTATTGGAGCGCCCCCGTGACCACTCACTCACCTGTGGCCTGCGGCTCCTCACTATGAAGGTAGAGGTGAGCAGTTAGGACAGAGAGCTTGTGACTCTCAAAGCCTAAAATATCTGGACCTTAACAGGGGAAGTTTGCTGAGGCCTGATGTGGAAGGTTACTCAGCGGACTCAAAACACCGGTTTTCTCTGGGGAGATGGGGAGGGATTAAGGTGGTGGTCATAGGGGATTTAGTTTATTTATTATTTTCTGATTTTTTTTAAAAAGGGCATAAGTTCACATATTTCTTGTGCAATTAAAAATAATAAAATAAAAAAAAATCTTGCTAAGGTGAAAGAAGCCAGTCACAAAAGACCACATGTTATGTGATTCCATCTGTACGAAATGTCCAGAACAGGCAAATCTATAGAGACAGAAAACAGATTGGGGGTTGCGTAGGGCTGGGGACAGGGGAGCAGTTGGTGGACACAGGGGATGATTGCTGAAAGTTATTGGGTCTCTTTTTGGGATGGTGAAAATTGTTCTCAAGTTGATTGTGGGGCTGGCCGCATAACTCTGTGACTACACTAAAAGCCCTTGAATTGTGTGGTATGTGAATTATACTGCAATAAAGCAGTTAGAAGAAAGAAAGAAGGGAAAACCAAAATTTACTTAGAAAAAAGAAAAAGAAAGAAATCACCATAAGGCTGGATTCTCTGACCTGTGCATCTGAGGTGTAACAGCCCTCGGGAGGTTAGATGCTTGTCTCTAGCTTATAGACAAATACATTCTTAGGCTCTCCAAGAGATCGTGTTCTAGGATGAAGTTGCCCTGAGTCTCAAGAAATTCCTCATATTGAACGGAATGCTCTTTTGCTGTCGTGGGTTTAGGGAGCTCTTGTCATTCCAGAAATACTGAGCATGGCCCAGTGAGCTCTGAGGGTCCTTGGACCCAGTGCTCTTGGTCCCTGCCATGGGCAGCCTGCACCTTCCAAGGGCAGCTCACGTGAAGGCATCAGGGCTGCCGAGAACGCGGGCTCTGCTCGCAGATGAAGAGGGGGCCAGATGCACCTGGATGCGTTCCCACAGAAAGAAAGAGCAGCAGTGAGTTTAATCAAATAAAATTTACCTCCTTCTCTCTGCCACCAACCAGGATTTTGTGGATGGAAAAGAATTTTTTTTTTGAGATCTAAAAATTTTATTATAAAATAACAAAAGTAGTGCTTTTAGGAATTATATCTTTTTAAATCTCATTACTTTTTTTTCTTTTTTCTTTTTTTTCAGAGGGTGTGTTTGTTTGTTTATTTATTTATTTATTTATTTATTTATTTTTTAATTGGAGGTACTGGGGATTGAACCCAGGACCTCATGCATGCTAAGCATACACTCTACCACTGAGTCATAACCGCCCCCCAATTTTTTTTTTAATATGAAAAGGTATAAAAAAGTGAAAATCTTTCTCCCTCCCCTCCTTAGTCCTCCTCAGGAGTCACAGGTTTTAAACATTTTGCTTTTAGTCTTCTCATTCTTCTTTCTAGACTTTAAAGAAGATCTTTGTTTATCACATTTCACTGCTATGTCTTGACTCCCAGCTCTGAAAAGTGAGGAGCTGAGCTTCCTCGAGGCTGATCCTCTCCCTGGTCCCTGCACCTCCCAGCTCTTGTCTGTTTTTTTTCACTTTTAGTCCTTTGGTTGCTTTAATTACTTAGTTTTAAAAAGCAATTAAAAAAGACATTAAAAATTCAAACTGTGCAGAAGGGTATTTGGTGAAACCAGATCACCCTCCCTGAAAGGGAAGGTAGATCAGGAAGCTACCAAAACAGCTGATGTTTATAAAACTAGTCGAGGGAAATCAGGGTGATGCTAAATCGCACAGGGTTCAAGTGGGACCTCGCTCAGGAGTGGGGAGGCTTCGCGGATGGCGTTCAGGAAGACAGGGGGAGGAGGGTGGAGGATGCAGAGGGGACAGGAGGAGGCTGACCTAACTGGAAGTGGGTGGAGCCACAGAGCACAGCGCAGCCAAGGTGTCAGAGTGAAGGGCTTCACGGCTGTGACGGGAGCCTGGGCCAGGAGTCAGAGCCCCTCTAGCTCAGATCCTGCCTCTGCCACTTACCAGCTGGGGTCTTGGGATGGGTTAGTGCCCCTCTTTGAGTCTCAGTGTCTTTTATTTGGGTGAACTGCTGGTGACAGTATCTCCTGACCATGGTGGATGTGGGTATCGAGTAAAAGCATGTAATTAAAGCACCTAACGCAGCGGGTCTCACGTGGTAGAGACACTTTATTGTGAGAGAGAATTGGAAGGTTTGGGGACAAACATGATAAAGACATGATGTGATACACACGTCACGTGCCAGCCACACTGTAGTTGAACAGTCCCCCCCGCCCCCGCCGGTGCTCTGCGGCCTGCTCACCGTCCCGGGGACTCTGTCGCAGGGGCTTCTGCAGAGCACGTGCAGCGTTGGATGGTGGATACGTCGTCTCGTCTTTGTCATGGTTGCAGGGTGGTGACACAGCTATGTACCTTTCTACAGCTAAACCACAATTGTGTTCCTCAGCAGTCCCCTGCCAGTGTGTCCTGGAGTCCCCCAGGGACTGATTCCCCAGGAAAGCTGTCACCTCTCTAGGTGCGAAGGGAGGGCGCCTTGGTGGCATTTTGGCTGTGTAGCTTGTCAACTTTAAAGCTTAAGGCCTGCAGGGGGGGAGCAGCAGCAGCGTCTGCCCTCGGCGGAGCGGACTGCAGCACGTCCCTCCGCCTGCTCCTTTGGGTGGCCTTTCTCGGCACCACTCAGACTCACTCTGCTTGGCTGCGCCCTGGTCATCACATTCCACTGTCCTCACTATGGCTCATGGTTTGGGCAGGGCGAGAGGTGAGACTTGGCATGTGTGCCAGTGTCATGGGTTTTAGGGAGCCTCTTGGCTTCTAGAGCACATGACCACCCACCTCTGTCCTTGCCACCCTCTCCCAAGGACATGTGCTCGTGCATTCATGTTCCAGGAACTATACAGTTGGCCCTCTGTATCCAAGTTTCCACATCTGCTGAGTCAACCAACCATGGATCGAAAATATTCAAGAAAAAAAAATTCCAGAAAGTTCCACAAAGCAAAACTTGAGTTTGCCGCTGCTGGCAACCATTTACATAGCATTTGCATTGTATTAGGTATTATAAATCATCCAGAGATGATTTAAAGTACATGGGAGGATGTTCATAGGTTATACGTAAATACTGTGCCATTTGTATATAAAGAACTTGAGCATCCACAGATTTTGATAACCTTGGCCGCAGGGGAGGGAGAAAAGGGTGTCCTGAAATCAGCCCCTCACAGATGCTAAGGGACCACTGTACATCCTTGAAAACAATACCACGGCACATCAGCTTTCATTTTATACTCTTTAGGGAACTTTCGTGTGTATTATTTCATTTACTTTATTTTGTCATCATGACAGCTATGTGAGGCAATGCACAAGACATCATCAAGTCCATTTTAAGATGAGGAAACATGCCCGAAGACACCTAGGTACTTGCTCAAGACTGCAGTGCAGGTCTTTCATTCATTACGTCAGCCCCGTGCTAGTTCCTGGGGATACGGTGTGAGCTGCAGAGGGACAGTCCTGTTCTCCCAGAGCTTCTAGTCTAGCGACAGCAATAAACATTAAACACACACATTAAGTAAGCTATTTAGTTATACTTGTGTTGGGTGCTACAAAGGAAAGTATGTGGTGTAGGTGGGAGCAAGGAACACAGGATGTGAGGCAGGGTTTTCAGTTTTGAATCCAGTTTCATGCTCCTGCATCATTAAAGTCAGGCTCTGGCCCGCCATGGAGCTCAGCTGTTTAATCCAAATTCAGGAATCTGAATGTGGCACAGGTGCCTGGGATGTCAGTGAACTGCCTTATAGCATGCCAGGTGACAGTCAGGGATTACAGTGGGACCGTGATGTTTTAAAGCAGTTCTTTGAATCAGCTTCCAAAGAAATGTGTCAGTTAGGAGGAAGGGGTAATTTACCAGCATCCTCTCTCACCTGGTTGGTCACGGAGTCTTGGTCTCGCTGGCTGTCCTCTTCCCCTTAAAGCTGCTCTGCCCGGCTGTGGAGAAAAGGGAACCCTCCTGTACTGCTGGTGGGAATGCAGTTTGGTGCAGCCACTGTGGAAAACAGTATGGAGATTCATCAAAAGACTAGGAATAGACTTACCATATGAC